GTTCGGTTTTGTTCTTTTGTTTTTTTTTTTTTCTTTGCTTTTTGTTTGATTACTTTTTATGATAGCCATTTCCCAACAGTTATTCCTTGTCTATATTATGCCTATAGACCCAATCTCATCAAAACGTGCATCCGCCACCCCGTCATCATTATATGTTGGAGGCCCAACCGTGGGTGAGGCTTCATTGGAACTGTTCCGGTGGCGCTCTTGATATCAAACCGATTTTACTAGTCTCGTTCCCCCCAAGAACCTTATAGACCCTGATCTGCTCGCAAATCCCTCGATATTGCGCATCGAAATTATGGCCAATCCACCAGTCCAACTGTCGCTCCAGACAGCCCAGAGCAAAAGCCCACCAGTATCTACTCATGTCCCATCAAGTCTCACGCCACCTGTGACTCCTATCGCCAAAGAAAGGCCCCCAAGATCAACTCCAAGCCCATTTCAAGACCCAAAGGCAGAGCAAACGCCATCCATCTCCAAGGACAATGCCAGCCCTCTGCAGTTCACCGATGACCTCGAAATCTGCCACGACGAGAACAACCGGTCCATCGAGTTCGGCCGCGGCGTCTGGAGTATGGTATACAAAGCGCGCTCATTACCACGCCCCCAAACAAATCTCCCAGGCACACCCCCCAGCTCGCCAACCTCAAGATCGCAAGTGCTAGCCGTGAAAGCACCATTGCGCCGAGATGCGCGCCCAGTTCTGAACGCCGAAGCATTAACCCTAACACGCCTCACATTAACCCAAGGTCACGAGCAATACGTCGTCCCCTTCCACGGCTACCACGCCGAACTGGGCGCACTAGTTATGTCCGCCATCCCAACCTCACTAGCCACATACATCGAAGACCAATCCAAGCTAGCGCGCACCCGCCAACCCACAACAGCAACAATGTTCGACCCAGTCCAAGGCCCAGCCTCGTACCAAGAACTCGCGCGCAAGCTAATCACCGGCCTGAACTGGCTGCACCAAGTCGCCGGCGTCGTGCACGGCGATATCAAACCACAGAACATCCTCCTCCGGCCCATAGACACAGACGACTGCGACGAAGCCCTGGATTTCCCTTACGAACCTCTGTACGCGGATTTCTCTGCCACGGTTGATATCCCCGCGGATGCAGATGCGCCGGTCGATACGACCCGCGCGTCGATGTCGTCGTTCACGCCGCCGTTCACGGCGCCAGAAATGCTCGCTTCGCTCACGTCATCTGAGATGGCGCCGACGCCCGCGTCGGATGTCTTCTCGCTTGCGGCTACGCTGCTTGCGGCTGCGACGGGGGATTTGCTGCTTTATCCTAATATGAATCATCGGTTGAGGCTGGAGATGGCGAGGGCTGGACATCAGATTATTGATTTCGCGAGGTCTGGTGTGAGTGGGAGTCGGGTTCCGAGGGATGGGTTTGTTGAGCGGATTGTGAAGCCGGCTGTTGCCAAGGACCCTGCGATGCGGGTTACGACGCCGGAGTGGGCCGAGCTTGCGTCGGCTTGATCCTGGAGGGGATCTGTTGTTGGGCTTCTTTTTGGCTATTTGATTTTTCTTGCATTGTCCATATACCCTGTTTAGATGGAGTTTGGCGGATCATGTATGGTATCGGGGTACATTTTGTTTGCATTGAGGAATGAGCTTAATATTTAATTAAAACAAATGATACCTGGTGGAGCATGGGGTATCAGTTTTTCATTCGATAGCAACTAGGTGATTCTCAATTAGAGTAACGAGCAAAAAGCGAGAAACAGCCCGAAAACATTCCTCGCATCAGCCAATGGATCAAAATTGGCGACGCATCCACGCCGCATCTCAGTCAGCTACAATTAGCACAAAGTGGTTGTACATTTTGCCAAACACTGCCGGATACGTTATCCTCGTAATCTGCGGGAAGAACTCCTTGACGTGAAGCGCAATTCCATGAACTGCAGCGGGATTTCCACTGTGCCTATCTAGTAGTTAAATCAAATTTTTGCATCGTAGAGTATCGTTATAGACTGGACGTTCTTGCCCCGGTCTCAGAGTAGTTAGTAGTATTAGTCGATCCAAACAACTTGAGGAAAGCCTGAGTAAGTTGGTAGTCGTAAAGCTCACTATCCGTCTCGCTTTCAAGCAGGAACAAATGATACTTTTCTCGCAGACAAGGAGGTCCAGGTATAGATCAAGGCAAGGTCCTGCTCTGGTGTTTGGCCCCGAGAACGCGTCATGTAGTAATAGGCATCATCGGCCTGTAAAGAGAATTAGATTGAGAGTACGCTTTGAAGTGAGAGTTTTGTTACCTTGGGCTGCATCAGCGCTTCCACTGCGTGGTGGGCGTCTTGCACCACCCTCTGGAGGGCATTTCTCTCCGTCCCAGGCATCCTCAACCTTTGGGTCACTCTTAGGATGGAAGGTGGAGATTTTCGGCAGAGAGGTCAGTGATACCATCCTTCCAATATGTCGCGACGAGGTCGGTCCGGGGACATTGGAAGGTGAGGTCGTACTGGCGGTGATCATAGGTCCCACTGGATTGCTTTGGTCGTTGACGGTACAGTTGGGGGTGCGATGGCCTGTCCGAAGTGACTTCGTACGCCTCGCTTCGGCCCACCCTAACACGCCCCACGGTTGCAGATCTGCTTCTAGCTGCTTGTTCCCGGAGGTCTTGGACCAGCCACTGTCTCCACAGTCACAATAGAGATCTAGGTGTAACGGGCATCTGAGAGATCAACTCGACTGTAGGTGCGAAAGCGCCCCTTTTCGACAGGCTTAGGAAAACGGCGGTCATCATGCAGGTGCCTGTATGCAAGCGCAGCGTAGACAGATTCGTCTTCGGCGTTCACATTCACTAATCCCCTGGTCTCACAAATAAATTGTGTCCTGAACCGTGCTTCAGTCAGAATCAGCAAAACCAACATCATAATGACATATCACTCACGAAAGGTGTCTCTGGCCACGTTGTGCGGATGGTCTTGACAGGTTGATCCTGCTGACTGCGCTTTGGAACCGGCTTTTTGTTCCTCATTTTCTTGGTGAGATCGGCGTCGCATGGTTCCAATCCAGGAGGAAGTTCTTTCGTCTTGTATGGCTTCGCCGGAACCTTTTCCAGATAGGCACTTTTCATGATAATAACAGTCCCTACAAGCCATCATACAGCATTGAAAGCTGTGTAGGAAACTGAGAGCCGGCTTTTATGCTCATTCATAGGAGTGGGGTTATGATGAGGTGAAAGTAAGAGCGAACTGAGCGAAATTTGAGTAGAACGTGAAGTTCACGTAGACGAAATCCTCTGGATTCTCCTCAATTGCCGTCCGAATCACTTGGCGAAGGGTCATGCTCGAAGTGGAACGTGGTTTACTTTGATTGCATTTCAATTAGGCTCATTATAACCGATTGTCTTTACAACCAGCTTGCTTTTTTGACCTTTCTGCAAGTGTTTCGTCCTCTCCTTCTGATTCATCAAGATTTAGTGGGCCGACGTCTAAAACCTCAACACAGCAATCATTTAGGCGCTTGTTCAACAGCTCGGCGGGAACCTCTGTGATCTTGTAGGTAACGTCCTTTTCCACGTTGGCATTCTGGACTGGTTCGGGTCACTCTCCAGCGACCCTTCTTGACCGGCGAGACCTGCTTGGTTGCTGGGGTTCCATACTGGCTGTGAAACGCGTGCTGGACAGCCTGGTGTGGGGGTCGAGGAAATTCTCAGAAAGGCACAAATGGTCGCTTTGCGAGCTGTGGTATAGATGGGATAGCAAGTGAGGACAAAATGATAAAGTTGCTAAATGAAAAGCAGAGGATGCTCAGGAAGATGGGTTTTTGGCGAGCTGTGGTAGAGGATGGCAAGTGAGGACGAAGTGAAAGTGGCTGAATGAAAGAGAAGAGGGACGCTCTTTTGATTCCTGCGGGAAAGTGTGAATAGCAGGGCCCCAAAACTGTGCACCTTCTAGGTCCACGGCTATTTAAATAGGTTATGTAACTTGCCCGAGTACCCGTGGACTGCCTTTTTGCTTGGCTCACCTCCTTCTTCTGCCTAAATTTTGTGCATTGATTGATTCCTAGACTTGTGCGCGAATCTCATTCTACCTCGTGCTTATTATCTTGCATCGGTCTAGCTCGAATATTTAGCATTAGCAAGAAGACGAGGAAGGCGTCCTTGTATTGCCCATTTCGAGCAGGCCACAGCATGTCCAATTGGAAGGCACGTCCAAAGGTAGCCTTAGCTTTTAACCGGGACAGGGTCCTTTCACTGCCTTCGAAGGTTTGAACTTCGGTCCTTACCTGATAGCGGAATGTTCCACTTTGAGAGAGGCTATTGAGGGAGCTACGTTGCTGAGGGCCGGGAGAGACTACATATGTAAGATATGAACCTACCTAGGTAGATGGCCAGAGGTGAAATCCGGAGCTCACGAGGACCTCTATAAGTAACCCTGGAGGTAACCTTCCAAGGTTCCAAGGTTGGTCCACGGGGTCCTAAGCCGCTTCGTCATCAGGTACCACCGGATGGATAACTACATGTACATATACATACGGACCTACCTCGTACGTAGGTATGTACTCACAAGTGATTCTACATCCTCATCCTTCCCTTCCTGGTTATCCCGCCTCCATCCCTCCTCTTTGATTTTCGGAAACACAACTATGCCACAGTTATGTCGACTACTCAAGTGGAAATCCTCAACCCTGCAATCCCTGGCTTGCCCTCCAAGGATGTAGTAGTGCGACTCTGCAAGAAAAAGGGCTCCAATTCAAATATCCTCACATATTTCGCCGAAGGAAACACATTCTTTATCAAATACAACAACGCCACAATGGAAGAAGCCTATGCGCAGATGTTCTTCCGTCAGGAGATTACGAAAAGAAGCAACACCACCATCCGAGTTCCCGAGATCTACCACGCTTTTCAATCGGGGAATGGCAGGGGTAAAGGATATACCTACATCATTATGGAGCATATTGAAATCGACTTTGAGAGAACTGCTTCTGATGATCGGAGAGCACAAGATCTTTCGGAGTTAATCAGTATCCCCCCGCCGCCGGGCGTCTTTGTGAGCTTGAGTGATGGCACCTTCAGGCATTTTTATTTCCGAGACTAGGAGCCTCCTGTTCCCTTTTCTTCCGCCGCAGAGCTCGAAATTTACCTCAATATAGTAGGTCTTTCTCAGATTTAGTTTGAAAGCAAGTCTCTTGGTTAAACTAACATATCTATAGTGCCTAGAGTGGAAGAACAGTATCAGGGGAAGATAAGATGAAGTGGATTTCAGTCATGAACCCCTCCTATGCTACTATTCAGATATATTCCCAAGCAATTTTCCAATTGATAAACACGGCCAGCTCTGGGTGTTCGACTTCGCGCAAGCTGGAGTTCTGCCTTCGAGCTTCATGAGTTAGACGATCGCCGCTCATAGAAAGCGTCTGCCAATCTATATTCGGAAAACGCTCAATTTGCCAAAATCATCGAACTTGGGACCACTGTGTCGTGCCTCCTACACCGTGAAATCTACACAATCCATTTCGTATCTCCGAGTTAGCTTGTTCCTTGTTGGTTCTGTGGCTTACAATTCATCTAGATGAAAATCTCGGGGACAGTGGCAAGGAGGCTGATGCTGAATCCCTGTCTGCGAGCTTACGGGTTTCATACTTTCGAACCGAGCCCCGCGGTCAATGTTAACTGGTTTATCGATAAATAGATCGGAATATTTCCATTCTAAGTTCTGGACACCAGATACATAGCTATTCGAACAAAACTGAAGCCGAATCATTTGCCATTTATCCAATCTCTATCTTGTCCATAGTATGGCTATTGTACAATCCCCGCGACCTCTAGTGTGCTAAACTACACTCAGTTTGGGAGATGTGTCGAAAATACGATAAAGCTAGTCAACACCTGCTGATCAGCTACTCTATTAAGATTTAATAAATCCCGGAGGCTCGGATATGAAGGCTTCAAAAACACAGGATATGAAATTGATCGAAACCAATATTCGTTTGGCCAAAGAGCGAAAGGCTCGCTAAAGAAGCAGACGGCTACTATGCCAACCTCGATTACAGCATAATAAGAAATGTGATTGAATGGGAAATTAGTTTTGGCTCCCTTCTACTAGGAAGGTAATCGAGGGTAGGATCCCGCAGCGGCGACAGCACGAATGGATAGCCTAGCTCGAGGGCAACTGTTTCAATTCAAGTTTCAAGAACCAGCATCACTGCCCCCCTCAACAAATCCCTTCAAATCAGCGACCCACATCTCAAAATTCGTCTGCAGCTTAACCTTATACATCCACCGCACTACATAAACCAACCACCCAACCTGTGCCTCCCAATTCCGCACTTCCGTCCCACCCTCAACAGCCGTAATCTCATGCACGCGCTCCGCCGTCAAAAGTGATGGCGAAAAAGAACCCGGCGCTTCGGGGTCAGCGCACCAAACTATACGGCCGACCTCGCCGGTCTCCGCATTCGGCGCTCTGCATTCGCTTATGAGGAGATGTACGTCTGTTGAGGGCTGGGGCTTGGTGGAGGTTGGGTCCATGCGGACGTGGAAGGTGAATTTTGTTCCTTTTTGGAAGAGCGGGGATAAGTTTGCATTTGTCGATTGGGTGGTTGATGTCGGCGCTGGTGTTGGTGTTGGATCCGGCGCGGATGGAGATGGGTCTGGGGTTGGCTGGGAGCGGATGGTTACGCGTGGCACGAAGTTGTTCCATTCTGGCCAGGTTGAGGTGTCTGTCAGGGCGGCCCAGACTTCTTGGGAGGGCGCGCTGATGAAGGTTGAGCTGCCGATGTGGAGGGTCGCTTTCTCGATGGGGATGTTGGGGGTTGCGCGGGTGGCGTTGGTTGGGTCTGTGAAGGTTGCCATGGTGGATTAATAGCGGAGGAAGGGGTTTGAGGAGAGGATGAAGGTAAGCAGGTAAGAGTCAGACGAGTTGTGTACAACGGTAGGTTGCCAGAGTAGTACCTCGGATGTCGTTTACATCCGGGCCGATAGCTTTGAAGTGCTGATAAGATAAGATAAGATAAAGTTTCTGATGAAGCTTGAATCCAAACCAGATGAGTAGCCCTAACTACATGGATGTAGTATTTCTTGAGTCGACTTGACAAGGAAGTAACTCTCACTAGGCGGACACTAATGGGATGGAAAAACTAATATTAGAAGAATATGGGGAATGCGGCGCTGTCCCCATGAAAAACTAGCGCACATAGATATAAAAGAATGCATTATTGACCTTGGTCTCTCTTCCCTTTTTTGAGCCCGATATGTCTTGTTAAGTAGTCAAGACGGAACCGAACACCATACTCAAGCTTCAGAATAAAGCTCCTCGTTCCTGAAGTTATTCCGATCTATCCGCCAGTACCCACGCAGAACTATGGCATATCAATAACCAACCGTACTTAGTCCTCAGCTCAGATGCACTGAATCGTAGGATCAGTTCCAATATATCTTAAATTATCCATATATCCAAGGATATACTTCTCTCAACATGTCAGGAAACTACAACATATGTAATCATCAAGCTGCGCAACCTTGGGATTGCCGGATCGACGCACCAAGCCCGTTTGAAGAGGATACTTGCGACAAATCAGATTGACCAAATGACATCAGTTGGGACCTTGGAGCCACATTAGGTGACTACATCTCCCATTCATGTACGGGACTTCTTTGCCCTTTCTGTTTTGCTCATATTTGGCCATGTCCGCTCCTTCCTGTAATGTCGCTCCTTCCTCAGAACTACTGCACATGAACAAAACTCCATCATCCCCCCTTTCCTCCTCTTCTTTCTCTTCTTTCTCTTCCAATCCCCATACATTCTTTCATCAAACACTCTTTCACTTATATACTCATTGTTCCACTACAGTCATTTCAACTTCTTCCAGTCTCTTCAACATGCAGTATACTACCCCAGTTCCGGTCTTTGTCCAAACTCCTCATCAACCACCTCCTACCTTTCTTCCCCGGCCACGGCCTCGATTTTGCATTCTGCGCCCCGGAGGCTTTTGGACTCCTCTGATCCCACTTGACGAGTTGCCTTCTTGGCTGGAGATTTGCAACTGGGCCCCTGACATGTATATGGGAATGTACCCAGCGTCAATGACGTTCATACCACGAGAAGGCGAGTATGATGTTGTCTGTCATCACTGCTCCCACGGTGTGGACTCACTGCACCAGAGCGTCTCAGAGCGAGAAGCTTCTTCTGTGGCAGCCAGTAATGCCGCCTCCGCCAAAGACGGTCCTGAACATAACACCTCACCAAATGCCCAACACAATGATACTGTGTCCTTGCCTACAGTGCTCCATCATGGTTCCCAAAACCACTTCTTGGAGCAACCCCCTTTCAGTGCGATGCTGCAGACACCTTTTGTTGGAATGTGTGTGGTCGACGTGAATTCGCAGTATCCGGATATCGCTCCGTACCAGGCTGGGCCGAAACGACGTATGAGCCTTGAGAACTCAACTCCTCCTCATGTCTTTGGTGCAGTCGGCGTTGGCAGCCCTCCTCTTTCCGTGGCCAACTCAGGGAACACTCGCAGGACCGAGTCCCCTTACCCGCATGCACATGGTGCTGGATCGTTTGCCAAGCCCCAGCGCGTCGCATCCTTGCAAAATGAAAGCGTTGCATCAATGCAAAGTGGCAGCGTTGCGTCCACTCGATCTCTCACAGTTGCTGCCATCGAGCAATTGAAGAGGATGCGAAGAAGAAGGCTCCCGCGTGGAAGCAGTTTGCATGCAAGCATCGGTGTCGCGGAGGCAAAGAGTCTGTCTCAGGTCTCAGGCTCAAAGATTTCAAAGGCTTCAAAAATTTCCAAGACTTCCAAGACTTCTAAGGTTTCCAGGGTTTCCAAGATTTCCTCCATCCGGGTTATCTCAAAGCATCGTCGAAAGGTTGTACTGCGTCGTCGACGCGCGGAAGAAAAGACGGCCAACAAATCAGCACAGTTAGAGATCTCAATGGAGGAGGCACTGAAGCTGAAGCCAGAGCAACCGAATTCGGCTACCAAGAGACGCGACCGACGTGAGCGCATGATGCAACGCAGAAGGCAATCGGACCGTGGCAAGCAGCCATATCGAAAAATGATGCGGATTCCCAATTGGAGTCCGGGTATGTGCAAGCACTGAGTCATAATCGCAAGAGAAGTGGTCTGTACAAGACATCGTGAGACTGTCTCACTGTCTTGATGGTTGGTATTATTCGCACAAGTTTACTTTGACTGGAACTGGTTTATAGATAGATGTCCTTCCTTTCCATTTTGTTTCTGCTGGGTCTGGCTATGCTTTGGTTGTTCCATTCTTTCGGCAAGGTTGCTTGTTCTTTTCTATTCTCGCTTCCGGCGAGGTTTTGTCTTCGTTAGGTCGTTTTGCTCTTTTCAATTGGCTAATGACTGTGTCTGTCGTTTCCTTTTATTCGCAACTGGCTTCTGGTTGATGGTATTGTCTCTCACTTTCCTTTACAACGCCTGTACTTCACTTGTGTAACCCAACCAAAATTGAACCGAGTATTCCACTTTCCAGGGATATTGTTAGACAAAACGCAGACTCGTGCCTTATCGGACATCAAAGAAGATATGAAAAAAACGACCCCGAAAAACCCCAAAGGAGCTCCACCTAATCGGGCAAGTGTCCGCAAGCCCCGCACTATACTCCAGGGCTAGTTGATAGCCTTCCAAGCCAGGCAACTTCACACACCATGAAAGTGAAAAAGCCCCGTGGCATTCGGCATGACCGAGACTGTGGTCGCTGTAAAGTCCGAGGGATCAAATGTGACCTGAACCGACCCCGATGTCAAGCCTGTCTCCAGTGTGGAGAAGCATGCAATTATCCACAGCGAGTTGTATGGGTAGATGATAAGAAGAAGCCGAAATCGCCCAAAGGCACCTCACCACAGGTTCCCAATGAAGAGACACCGAACGCTGGAGCTTTCAAGTCGGCATCTATCAATCTATACGGTTTCATCGACCTCTTGGATGCTTTTTGCCAACAAATCCAATCTAGCAGCCGCGACATCCCAGAAGAAGGGATTCAGCTGATTTCACGCACCCTAAGCTTTGCCCGCTCGCGCATCCAAGATGCAAACAACAAAGAATCCCTCCAGTCGCATTTAGTGGCCTTGACAAACCTGAGCCAAGTCATCCAGTCCGCACACCCAATTGCGCTCTTCGGCATCGCCACTTTCGCCATGTTTGAAGTATGCTGCGGATCCTTTGGCAACTGGCATTGCCATCTCCAAGGCGCACGCTCCCTGCTAGATCTCCACTGTCAACACAAGGCCGATCTAGACGACGTCTGCGGCGAAATATCCGGTCTAGCTGATGTTATCGCCTATCTAGTATGGTTTGATGTTACAGGTGCCCTTGTCAGGGGAAGTCAATTAATTTTCGAGGACTGGCATCGCGAGACCTTATCTGCTGGATTCTTCGACTCAGTTGGATGTCCAGCAGACACATTCGATCTATTTGTTTATCTTGCGAAACACGACAGCAATGGGATCCGCGCTATGGAACTCAGTGCTCGAGCATTAGCCCAGGTCCTGCAGCTTAATGCGGGCGACTCAACAGACCGCAACCTTGCGACGACCGTGTATAGAGGGGCCGCGGCAATCATGGCATTCAGTCGCGCGGGAATGGCTACGGGCGGCGATCCCTCTGTATCGACATATCATTTGAACGTAGTCTCTTCCATGGTAGATCGAGCTTGCCAGGCTATGGCGGAAATCCCTTCTACGTCGAGATTCTACGTGCATCTAGCTACTCCCGCATACCTGATAGGGATGAGCGCCTCGACAGCACGCCAGTGCGAAATAATCCGAGGCTACTGGCGCAACTGCCAGTCATGCGAATTCCCCCGTTATCCGGACGCGGAGGCGCAGTGCGAGTGGAGGTGGAGGACATGCGGGGTGGGGTATAGCGTCGGTTAGATTGCCTTCCTAATCGGGTAAGACATCACATTTCTTATCTACTTTGTTTGTCTTGAACATCTATAAAGATCCTATTAGTATCCGACTTCATACCCTTGTAACTTTTATATTTTGATTATAAACATAGGAATCCCCCCATGGCTACCTCGTACCAAGACCGTTGCGCCCGAAAGCGCGCTGACCAGCTTTCCCTCATCCTCCCCGAATGGCGCTTAGATCCCGTTCCCTCCATAGAATCCGCTCCGGATGCTCTGACATATCTGCGCCTCATTCTCAGCCCAGAAGAACTAGCTCTCACAGAAGAGACTGATATCGCCGTCCTTCTCCGCAAGCTTTCATCTGGAGAACTCTCATCTCTAAAGCTGACTCGAGTCTTCGCCAAGCGCGCCGCCCTCGCCCACCAACTTACAACATGCTGCACGGAGATCTTCTTCCAAGAGGCCTTCACCGTCGCCCAGGAACTAGATGGCTACCTCGCCAAGACAGGGAAGACTGTCGGCCCTCTACACGGATTACCAGTATCCATCAAAGACCTATTCTCCGTTGAAGGAGTAGATACTTCAATCGGTAACTTACCCTCCCGCTTCCTGTCACACCTACCATCAGAAAACGCCTATTCCTTCATGTATAGGTACTTGTATGTGCATACTAACCATCCAAAATCCAGGCTGGGTCGGCCTCACCAACAACCCAGCAAAAGCAGACAAATCCGTAGCGCGAACACTCCGCCGTCTCGGTGCCGTCCTCTACGTCAAAACCAATCTGCCACAATCAATGATGATGTCCGACTCGTACAACCACGTCTTCGGGCAGTGCGTCAACCCCTTCAACCGCGAACTAATTTCCGGTGGGAGTTCCGGCGGCGAGGGCTCACTTGTTGCGGCGCGCGGAAGCGTACTTGGTATTGGCACGGATCTGGGTGGTTCGATTCGTATTCCTGCTGCGCTTTGTGGGCTTTATGGATTGTCGCCTAGTCCGGGGAGACATCCTTATGAGAGGGGGAAGTAAGTTTATTTGTCTGCTTGATTTTTGATATATTGGGTGGTGGAGAGCAAGAAGAAATTGATGATGCTGATTTCGATGCTTTACAGTCCAGGGCAGGATATTGTGAGATCTGTTGCTGGGCCTATGGCCTGCAGTCTGTCGACTATTGAGAGGTATATGGAAGTTTTGCCGGAAGCGAGGCCATGGGAGGTTGATCAACATGTTGCGCCTGTTGCGTGGAGAAAGGAATTGGCTTCTCCTGGTGTGAAGAGGTTGCGGATTGGGTTTTTGGTTGATGATGGTGTTGTTAAGGTTCAGCCGCCGATTGCGAGGGCTATGCGTGAGGTTATTGATGCGCTGGAAACGGCGGGACATGAAGGTACGATAACTGACAAAACTCTGACCCAATGGCTACTGTGGATCGTTTACAAACAACTCTTAGTGTTTGAGTGGGATGCCTCCTCGCATAGTTATGCATATGAGCTCTGGGCAAAGGCTATCTTCTCTGATGGCGGCGAGGGCTGTCGAAGACAAATAGAAAAGACTGGCGAGCCACTTATTGAGGGCATGCTCGTTGGTAAACTCGAGGATACTTTGACTACCAGTCAAACGCACCAAGTGAGGAACTCCCATCGTGGACTGATGTTACTACCTGCTAACACATGCCGCAGCTAAATGCGGACAAATACAATTTCGAAACGGCATATCTCGAGAAGTGGGTATCCACCGATATCGACGCATTGATCATGCCTAATACTTCATGGGTGGGATATAAACCGTGGACGTGGGTGAAGTCCAGTGCATATGTGGGCTACACGAGTATCTGGAATTTCCTTGGCTATGCCGCGTTGGCAGTACCTGTGACGACTGCCTCGAGGACCAAGGACGTTCCGGATGAAGAGTGGCTGGCCCATGTTCCGAGGAATGGTAGTGATAGTTTTAATAAGCAGCAGTGTGAGTACATCCAGCATTGGAGCCTTCTCAGACAATGGCTGATTCGTGTTTAGACGATATCAACCTGGTGGAGGGTATGCCTGTCGGGATACAGGTGGTCGGGGGTCGGTTTGGCGAAGAGAAATGTGTTGCCGTGGCCAAGGCGATTGAACAGGCTATGCGGGGGAAGATCCCCTCGCGGGCAAGTCTTTGATTCGTCCTACACTAGGAGGTAGACATCCTAGATAGGGAATAGGGAGGTCGTCAGGTTACTTATAAGCTGTTTATCACCGCTCGTTCTAGTTATCCCGGCAAGTAGGTAGGTCCGATAGGCCTATTAATTCCCCTACGTCCTATATCGAGCATACCTTATAGTAGTCCTACTCTATCCGGTTCTTCCTAATGAACAGTTGGTGAATATATGGATGACGCATTGTCTTATGCTATGGGCCTTACCCAAAGTCCAATGAAGTCAATATTTCCGCCCATAATCCATAATAAGTTGAATTATTCAAGACAAAATATGATTCAAATGTAAGGTCCTAAATGCTTATCCCCTCCGACGGACAGCCTCAAAAGCATCAATAGCATCCAACAGGGGTTTTACCCTTGCCACCACTCTTAACGACGAGGATATAACGTAATACTATATATATACATGCGTATACATGCTTTCTAAATGTTCCGCTTGCACTAAACACAATAATTTAATTTATAAGATTAACATCGTTATTTATATTGTCACTATATGCAATTACATCACAGGCCTCTGATGTTGCTCAACATGTACTAATCCAAACTGCCGACAAGTTCAAATAGGAGCATTCATTCTCTCCTTATAGTCCGGAAACTCAAAATCCCCAAAGTCCTTTTCAAGACTAAAACTCGAGCGTGGATTCTCAGGCGCAGTACGACTCCTCGTCGCCGCCGCCCCCTCCCTAATATCTAAATGGGCACCATTCGCAGAACGAGGCCGGAGAACAGGAGTAAGAACAGTTTCAGACTGCATCTTCAACTCCCGTTTAACACGAATGCCCTCCTCATTCTCATGCTCTTCTTCATTCGTGTTCACCTTCGAGATACTAGCTGAGTAACTAGCCGGTCCGGGAGTGAAGAGTTCGTTGCACCAGATCCCGCCATCACGGTTGAGAGGCTCAGCCATCTGGGTTCTACTGGAGTGGCGCTTTGAGGCTCTTGAGCGAATCGGGCGAGGGAGGAAGAAGAATGAGAAGACGCGGGAGAGGAGTGGGTGGAGTGGTGGCAGGCAGATGCAGACGATGGATACGTTTGCCTCGAGGGAGGACCAGAGGGCTGCTTGGGCATTTGCCTCTGTTGGTGCGTTAGTATTTTCGTTCTATTCATATGGTGCAGGGTGTAAAAAATGTTATATGCTTACCGGTAAAGTCTCCTCCGCCAACCATGATGCTCAATGGATACAAGCGAGCGGAACTGGTGCCAATAATACTATACGAACAGTCAGCTTCGTTCCCAAGTTCAACCACAAACCATATACTTTAACTTACAAAATTCCAAGACTAAAAACCACGAGTATCTCCCACTTTTGTCTTTTCGGTAGCTGTAACTTCCACAATAGCGGCATGGGCAAAACCAATATCACCAGATCGGTAAATGTCTGGAGTGCTGCGTTGGTATACCAGACAGGGGCAGCAGGCAGACATTGTGCCAGTCGGACCTCTTCATATGGGCTCCAGAAGGCGTGGACAGGAACGCAGAAGAGAAATCCGCTCAGTGTTGTCCATAGACCTACGATGACGAGGAAGCCCATGAGGGTATAGGTAACTAAGAGGAAGGGACGGGGACGGAAAAGGCGGGCGAAGAGTGTCAGGGCGGAGAGCTTGGCGAAGATCATGGTCATGTTGTAGAAAGGGACTGAAAGCCATAACCACTGTGGTTAGTTTTCATTAGTGACTTGTTTTCCCTATAATTTGATAGCGGAAGGAAATTTTTCGCACAAATAGTTGGCACTGGATGTCATATTCAGAAAGTTCTGTTGAGCGGACACCGATGCCATGGTTCGTTTCTGGAGGAACTTGTTAGATTGAAAATATACTAATGAGGCGTTGCTGAGATGGACCACTTACCAAGAAGTATAGAGACATACAATGCCAGGTCGCAGAGCTGTTACAGGTTGTTAGCATTGGGCTCTTTCACTCCCCACATACTTCATCTGAGAGATGTGAGCTCGTACTATACATAGCAGATAGAAATACATACCAATGCACATGATATAATCAAATCATCTAGCCCAGGAGCCTTCACCATGTGGATCCGAGTATATAGCCGGAGAGCGACAACCAAAACCGCCAGGCCCGTAAAGACCGACGTGATGGTCACAACGTACATTCGATCGGCAAGACAAACAATTGACCAATCTTGAAGATATCAACAGAATCTTAGTTGAAAGCCTAGACGTATGTCATTGTATTGAATGGAATGCAGTGGAACAGTGCCACTACACGGCGAGTTATGACTGAGGAGGTAGAATCGTAGTATTGCAAGCAAAGAAGTTTAGTTTCAAGTAGAAAATAAAACAAAAGAGAGCGAAAACGACAGTCTTAACCTACACACGACTCACGCCAAAACCCTATCAGTTCGACAGCCAGATCGGCAGAATCAAGGACTTCGCCCCTGTCTTCCAATGAATTTTCCATCCACGATGGTTGGTCCATCAAAAAGACGAAATGGCCGCATCAGGAAGCGAAGATCACCACTTGCGTCAAGACCTCGATCTAGGCCGTTTGTTAACTAAAATTGGAAGGAGGTGATTGGTTGCCTGAATAAGGTTGTGGAGTCCACCTTCGGGCACATCTCTGGCTCGCAACCCAATTGGTTCGAAGTTCAAAGGATTGTTCGGTACTGGTTCCCCCCGTAACTCTGGAGAAAGTAACCAGGGCAGTGAGATTAGATATCATCCATGGATATTATCAAGTTGAAGATCCTTGTTTGATTCTTACCTGGGACACCTTCTGTATGGGTGATTTCCTACTTAGGGTTTGGAGTTGATATTTCGGTATCACTTCCCTATTGAGATCTGCCCCGAGTTACGTTAATTCCGATTATGTGGTTTTCTGACTCTTTTAAGTGGATTCTGGCGTCGGGGACGTTTGTGTCCTATCATATGTACAAATGAAATGTTTGATGCTAAGATCTGGACGTGCGAGTGGTTATCTGTTATTCCTCTGGAATCTACAAAGGAGCACTATTTACCCTTGTAGAAGTGAGATAAACAGGGGAGTGGTAGAGGCGGGCTAATGGAACCCACCTTCAGAAGATCGTGAGTGGACACTGGTCGGCCCGGGGGATTTCCGAGGTGGATATTAGTAGGAGACTGGGACAGCACCCATAGGAACATGGTACTATTTCGGAAACTACTGATTGTCTACGATGTACTCATAGAACCTTGGAAAGAAGTATATAGAATGACAAATCAGTTGCAAACTATACAAAATGACCAATCAAAGCTAGGCCAATGCCTTTCCGCTAGGAATTCTAAAACGGGAGTATCTCAAATTTTGCAGCAAATGGGAAAACAAGGGAAAACAATCTACAGGCGAGCCTTAAGGTTGGCCTTCAGCCTCCGCTCAACGGCAGCCATGTACTCGCCAGTGGTGACCCAAGACTCGCGGTCCTTGCGGCCACAGGCGAGAGCCAGATCCTTAGTCATGATAGCCTCATCGTTGACGACGTCAACGCAGGCGCGCTCGAGCTCCTCAGCGAAGGTGACAACCTCAGGGGTGTTGTCGAGCTGGCCACGCTGAACGAGACCACGGGTCCAGGCGAAGATAGAGGCAATGGGGTTGGTGGAGGTTTCGTTACCCTTCTGGTGCTCGCGGTAGTGACGGGTCACGGTTCCGTGGGCGGCCTCAGACTCGTAGGCAGAGCCGTCGGGGGTGGCCAGAGCGGAGGTCATCAGACCGAGAGAGCCGAAGCCCTGGGCGACGATATCGGACTGGACATCACCGTCGTAGTCTGACCATACGTGTTAGATAAAAATTAAAGAAATAAACCAACATGGGATGGAAAACTCACTCTTAAGAGCCATGACGAAGCCACCCTCGGACTTGATCATCTGAGCGACCATGTCGTCAATGAGACGGTGCTCGTACCAGATCTTCTTGGCATCGAAGTCCTTCTTGTAGTCCTTCTGGAAGATCTCCTCGAAGATGTCCTTGAAGCGACCATCGTACTTCTTGAGGATAGTATTCTTGGTGCTCATGTAGAGGGGAAGACCCTTCATGAGGGCCATCTTGAACGAGGAGTGGGCGAAGCCAGCGATGGATTCATCGGTGTTGTACTGGCACTGGGTAACACCACCGCCCTGGAAATCGAAGACCTGAACGCGCTCGGGCTCACCACCGGCAGGGGTGTAGACCAACTCGAGCTTACCGGGGCCAGGGATGACACGGTCTTGGGCACGGTACTGGTCACCGAAGGCGTGACGGCCAATAATAATAGGCTTAGTCCAGCCAGGGACCAGGCGGGGAATGCGGGGAATGACAATGGGCTCACGGAACACGGTACCGCCACTAGATAAATCGTTAGCGAACGGTCAGGGCCAATCGGGTTGGTTTACTCACAGGATGTTACGGATGGTGCCGTTGGGGGAGAGCCACACTAGGAATGATTAGCTTTCTCATTTTACGCAAAACGGACTGCCGCTGAGCTTAATGAGCTTACTCTTCTTCAGCTTGAACTCCTCAACACGGGCCTCATCGGGGGTGATGGTGGCACACTTGACACCGACACCGTACTTCTTAATAGCCTCGGCAGCATCGATGGTAACCTGGTCGTTGGTCTCGTCGCGGTACTCAATACCCAAATCGTAGTACTTGAGATCGATGTCGAGATAAGGCAAAATCAACTACAGGCAACCAATTAGTATCAAGCAAGAAACCGGGCCGGTAGGGATTATGATGTCTCCACTGCATGCATCTGCAACGGCGGCGATCATGCAGGTCTGGGCCGGGCGAACGATAAGCTTACCTTTTCTCTGATTTCTTGCCAGATAATACGGGTCATCTATGTTCACGAAGATCATCCGGTTAGCACGTGTCAAGTATGAGTTTCGAAGCCTTGGGGAGCGTCATCGTCCGATTGACACATGAATTATCGTGATACTCCCCGTGTTTCCCCGCGTTTTCGACGAAAACGCGCCAGCCAAGCACGAGAATATGCGGGCTTGTGAAACAGGCTGATTGAAACTTCGAACTATAAAAAGGGAGTGGTTTCCCATACCTCATCACCATCCAACTCGACCACAGGGTTCTTGACCTTGATCTTGGTTTCGGAAGCCATAGTGCGGGTTTGAGTGAGAGACGAAGGGATCGATCCGGACCAGCGGGAAGAAACAACAACTCGATTAGTTCGTTGAGAGAGGGAGTTAGAGGAGATAGATCTCTTAGAAAGTGAAGAAGTGAAAGAAGAGGAAGAAATAAGACGAGAGGTAGAAGAGAGAGGGGCAGGAGGGGTCGCAAGGGACCGACGAGCGAGTGCGGAACTGGATCGGAGAGCGTGCATCGTGGGATCCTAAGGACGTCAGCGCCAGTTTCCCAGTTTCTGTTTGGCTGAGCGGGTAGTAAGTCGGCTCACTCGCTGGATTACAACCGAGGGAATGAGGTTCGGCAGAAAGGAAAGTGTGGAGTCGGGAAATTTCCCGGAGAAAGGGTAGAAAGAAGATGCGATTTCCGGGACTTGGGGGTAAAGGGTCCGCGGCAATGCGGGAATGGTTCGGAATAAGATGAGTAAGGCAAATAGGAAAGGCAGAATTACCGAATAGCAAAGAGACTGGACAGTTAAATGGAGAGTAGAGGAGGAAAAGGCCTTGTCCGGTGTAATGGAGGTTGGGGATCTTATGAACAACTCCGCAAAAAGAAGCGCCGAAGCCGGACAGTCACGAGATATTTGGAGATGATGAACAGCTTGGAATGTTTTTGAATGGCAATTTCACGTGGATTCCTCTGTTTCTTTAAATCTCTCCTTTCAAGGACTCCTGACTCACCGGTCTAATCCTTTATCAGGTAAAATTTTACATCAAAGCTCCATCAACCGACCCGCTGAAGAAGCCTATACGCGTGATAGAGCGATTCCCGGAGAACGGAGCTCAACTCCGGCCTTGACCGGCCCTCCCTTTTTGACCCCGGAAAAGCTCCAACCGAATTGTGCGATCTATATCCAGTGGAGAAAATATATTGATTATGAAATAATATATCGAAATGAATTTGACGTGTCCAATTGCCCCGGATTGCGCGGTGTTGAAAAATATCCATCTAACGGCCCGATCAGACCCCAATTATCGGATGTGTTGAAGAATCGAAATTCGAACAGTGGTATATGCAAGCTCCAAATATATCCTTATCTATATTGTACCCTAGAACAGCCCGTCGATATCGCCAGTCTCGGTGTCGATGTCGACGTTAAGGTAGCCGGGGGCAGTGGGTAGTCCGGGAATGGTCTGGATATCGGCAGCCAGGGCGTAGCTATAGCTATATTAGCGTGGACAGTTTCCACAATATGCGGGAACAAAAAACTTACAGGTATCCAGCACCCACAGCCAATCTAACATCCCGAATGGGCACAGTGAAGCCAGTGGGGGCGCCCTTGAGGGCTGGGTCGTGACTGAGTGAGTACTGAGTCTTGGCGATACAGATCGGCAAGTTAGAGAACCCTTGCTTGGTGTAGGTGTCGACCTTCTTCTGGGCCAATTCACTGAACTCGACCTTCTCAGCGCCATACATGGCCTGGCCGATACGCTCAATGCGCTCCTGGATAGTACCATCCAGTCCGTAGAGGAGCTGGAAGTTCTTCTCCTTAGAGCTAGCGGTCATGACAGCCTTGGCCAGATCAACGGCGCCGGCTCCACCCTCAGCCCAATGGTTGGCAGGGACGGCATCCTCGGCACCAGCAGCGATCGCCTCCTCCTTGATGACAGCAATTTCAGCGTCGGTGTCAGTCTCGAACTTATTGATCGCGACCACCACCGGGACGCCGTACTGCTTGGCGTTGACAATGTGCTTCCGCAGGTTAACACAACCCTGGCGGAGAACATCCACATTCTCGGTGCGGTAGACCTCCTGCAGAGGGGCACCGGGCTTGATCTCGGGGCCACCGCCGTGAACCTTCAGCGCACGGACAGTAGCCACAATGACGACAGCGTCCGGAACCAGACCAGAGGAGCGGCACTTGATGTTAAAGAAGCGCTCACCACCCATTGTGAAGTCAAAGCCAGCCTCGGTGACCACGAAACCGGTCTTGGCTTCATGATCCTCATCAGGCTCAGTACCGGCAAGCTTCAGGGCAAGCTTATCTGCGATGGCAGAGCTGGCGCCAATACTGATGTTGGCAAAGGGACCAGCGTGCACCATAACAGGAGTACCTTCCAAACTCTGCATCATGTTTGGCTTAATGGCATCCTTCATCAAAGCGGCGAGGGCACCACCAGCACCAATGTCATCGCAAGTCACGGGGTCGCCGTTTCTAGAAGTGGCAACCACCATACGACCCAGTCGCTCACGCATATCCTCCAAGTCGTTACTTAAGGCAAGAATAGCCATGCACTCGCTAGCGACGGAAATGTCGAAGCCAGTCTCGCGGGACAGGCCCTTCTCAGTATCAGCCTGGCCGACAGTGACACCACGCAAGTGACGGTCATTGACATCGAGAACGCGACGCCAAGTGATGGTCTCTGGGTCGATATCTAGGCGGGCAAAGCGAGTAATTTCCTCCTCAGTGAGATCGTCTGGGTTAGTCTTCTCAATGCCCAGCTTCTTCAGACGTCGGAACATAATGGGCTTGAATTCACGTGTGCCCTTGCTGGCAGGGACAAGGCGCTTGTAGAGAGCTGCGTCTTTCTGGGTGGACTCATGGAACATGCGAGTCTCAATAGCCGCGGCGAGAAGGTTGTTCGCGGCGGTGATGGCGTGGATGTCGCCCGTCAGGTGGAGATTGAACTCGTCCATAGGAATGACCTGACTGTAGCCTCCACCAGCGGCGCCACCCTTGATACCAAATGTAGGGCCTTGGCTGGGCTGTCGGACGTTGGCAAAGGAAATGCGGTTCAGGTGGGCACCAAGCGCCTGGGTGAGACCTAATGTGGTGGTGGACTTGCCCTCACCAAGAGGAGTGGGTGTGATACCGCAGACCAAGATGTATCTTCCGTTGCGGCGGTGGGCGAGGCGGTCAAGCACACTGAGGCTGATCTTAGCCTTGGTGTGGCCGTAGGGCTCCAACTCATGAGGGGCAATTCCGACCTCGGTGGCAACCTGGGTGATGGGCTTGGGGTACTGGGCCCGCGAGATAGCAATGTCGGAAGGCACAGGGGTTTGTAGGCGAAGGGGAAGAGGAGTAACGTGACGGTCCTTCTGTTTCTCAAAGTAGCCCTTGGCGGAATGAACCACGTTCTTCAACAACATTGCCACTGTCATGGGGCCTACACCACCGGGGACGGGAGTGATCTGTGAGGCTACCTGGGAAGCAGACTCAAAGTCCACATCGCCGACCAGTCGCTCACCGGACTTCTTGGTGGCATCAGGCTTATAGTTGATACCAACATCAATAACCACAGCGCCAGGCTTCAACCAGTCACCCTTCACAAGCTCAGTCTGGCCAATGGCCGCCACAACAATGTCAGCATTCTTCACAATGCGGGCAATATCCGGTGTCTTTGAGTGGCAGACAGTAACAGTAGCATCGGCGTTCTTAAGCAGATAGCTAACCGGGCTGCCAACAATGTCACTGCGTCCCAGAACCACTGCCTCCTTGCCGGCGGGGTTCACGCCGCTTGCCTTGAGTAGTTCCATAACCGCCAAAGGGGTGCACGGAGTGAACAACGGGCGACCGCCTCGCTTAGCCAACTCGCCGATATTGATTGCGCCGAAACCATCAACATCCTTTTCATCTGCGACAGTCGACGTGATTGCATGCTCGGACATGTGACTTGGGAGGGGCAATTGAACGAGGATGCCGTGGATAGCGGGGTCATTGTTGGCTTTAGTGATCTCTTGGATGAGCTCCAGCTCGGTGCTCGATTCGGGCACGTTGATCAGGGTGCAGATGATGTTGGCCTGGTGAACAAGGTCAGAGGATGCCCCGAATATCCCACATAGTAATAAACAGTAACCCATACCTCTTGAGCGGCCTTCAGCTTCATGCGCACATAAGTACCTAAGTAACATTAGTCCGAACGATCTCTCGATACTGTTTGTAGATAAACGAACTGGAATCCGATCGGTTTCCGACTAGATAGAGCCATCATGTCAGTATCCTACACTCCAATAATCATGCTTGATGAAGGGCATGCTTACCCTGGAAGATGACCAGGTTCGGCTTGAATCTAGGGTTGGTCACTTGAATCTGCTCAATCTCGGACTTCAACCCCTGGCGAATGCTCTTCGCGATGGCAGTGCCATCAATCTTGGCGGCAGCCATTGCTGACCCGGAAAACGTTCGGAAAGGTGAGATAGCGGGGCTAATGGGAGAAAAATTGACTTTCACTGGAGATTCGATGGACGATGAACGAAGCCCTCTGACTCCTTGGGCAGAGGAATACTTATGGAAAAAAGAACGAGATAGGAAAGGAAGATTTCGGAGAGTGCCCGCATGCACTTGGAGATAAAAAGTGCAGCGGGGTAGGGCAGCGGGGACGAATGGCATGAATTATTGCTTGTTTGGGCCAACCCTCGGAGCTGTTACCGGCGTTGCGAAAAAGAAATCAACAATTAGGCCTTGATTTCACATGCAATACTCAAGAGATATACTGGGGTAAAAGCCAAGTCTTGTCAATTTGGAGATATTCCCCTCACATTCACCTCATCTCTTCTTTTGTCTGTAATTAAGCTCATGCGGAGAGTCGGGAGTTTTCCGGGCACCTCCTGGTCTCTGCCTGAGGCAAAAGTTGCCCATCTGAGCCGCATGAGTCATCAGGGACACGTTAACCTTTTCGGGAACACCAACTAGGGCTTAGGGTATCCCGATATGAGTCACGTGTAGATATCGCAATGCGGAATATCTTAGCCTCCGATCGAGGCTTGGCATTGAGGGCCGAGTGTGCGATGAAATTCACTAGTCAAAGAAAGTGAGGTTGACGAGGTTGACCCCCCCAAAAAGCCACTCCGCCTTACCCCTTCTGAGCCGAGCGTCTCAGATTTTTCCCTCCGATACTCCATTCGAATACCCTATCCCCTCACATTTCGAAATGCGGCCTATTTTGCTTTCCGGCCATGTGCGTTGACTTCCTCGAAATCTTGCTGGATCCACAGACTGACCGCAGCCAACTATAACAACAGGAGCGGTCCCTGACCCAGATCAAGTTCAACAGCGATGGCGATCTCCTCTTCTCCGTCTCGAAGGATAAGATTGTGTGCGCATGGTGGTCCGCCAATGGCGAGCGTCTCGGTACCTACAACGGCCACCAGGGTGCTGTCTGGACAGTCGACGTCAGCCCCAACACCGTTCTTCTTGCAACCGGATCAGCAGACAACACCGTGCGTCTATGGAACGTCAAGACCGGCGAGTGTGTGAAGGTGTGGGAATTCTCGACAGCCGTCAAGCGCGTGTCATTCTCCCCCGATGGAAACAGACTTTTGGCAGTGACGGAGAAGCGCATGGGTTTCAATGGTACCATCGCGGTTCTCGATATCAACTACGGCGAAAACCTGAGCGCGCAGGCCGCCGAGCCCGCCTTGACCATCGTTTGCGAGGAGAGCAAGGCCACTGTGGCCGGGTGGAGTTTCCTGTCCAAGTACATCATTGCGGGGCACGAGGATGGCAGCGTTAGCCAGTATGATCCTAAGGTATGTTTCTTTTTGAGGTAATTTGAGGAGCGTGGAACGCTAATGCCATCTCTAGTCTGGAGACCAACTCGAGAACGTGCAAATCCACGAATTCGATAGCCAAATAACCGACATTCAGTTCGCACCCGATCGTCTGTCTTTCATTACCGCGTCGAAAGACAAGTCAGCCAAGGTACGTTCTTTTGCAGATCATTCTATAAGACAATCCCCGCTGATAACATGCAGCTCCTGTCCTCCCGCAACCTCGCCATTCTCAAGACCTATATCTCCGATACTCCTCTCAACACTGCTAGTGTGACACCCAAGAAGGATTTCGTCATTCTTGGTGGTGGTCAAGCCGCCATGGATGTCACCACCACCTCCGCCCGCCAGGGTAAATTCGAAGCACGATTCTACCACAGAGTGAGTGCAATATACGTTTGAGTGACTTTAGCCACCACATACTAATATTTCAATTACTCAGGTGTTCGAAGATGAATGCGGCCGCGTTCGTGGCCACTTTGGTCCCCTTAACACTATCGATGTTCACCCCGCAGGCACCGCATACGCCTCCGGTGGTGAGGACGGATACGTTCGTGTCCACCACTTCGACAAGTCATACTTCGACTTCATGTACGAGGTTGAGCGGGAGCAAGCGCGGAAGTGAAGAGGGGATGTGGTGAAGAAAGTTGGGATGCGTCGTGTGTATGTGTTTACGAGGCGAAACGACTTGGGACAGATCCCCCGAGTCCCGCATACGGAATGGGATGACCTTCCGGTCCACGATTTTCTCATTTCATTGATTCCATGATCAAATCGGAGTTGGTACCTTGTGTTTGTGTCTTTGTTTAATAAAAAGATGACATGGTTCTTTTTTGAGCTCTTATGTCTATCCTGGTCCTCCGCGAAAGAGATGAAAAATCGGGTAAATAGACAAAATCAAAGCTTGCAAATCTTCAAATTGCGTTAAGACAGCGCAGCTGGCCTTAAATAGGAGATGAGGATAGGATTTGTCTATGTATGTAATAGCTACATACGCTACATCTCCGTGTGCATGGACTATGTGCGAAGTATGAAAACAACCTTGGAACATCGATCTACATGTACTCGGATTTACACTTAAATGCCAATTACAAGTAGAAAGTATATGATAATATCAAATCTGAGGTATCTCATTTATACAAATTTTTTTTCGTGATAGCTTCTCTAAACCCGTTTCCCATGCCAAGGCCAGCGCTAATCCGACCAGCAGAAAAGAAACCCGTAGAAAAAACAAAAAAAAGGTGACGTCTCATGAAAATGGAGAAGGAACATGACAGTCATAGAGCGCAAAAAAGCAAATGCAGAAAACTTGAGATTTGCCCCAGTCTCATTCCCGAAGGGATACAGGCCACGGACTCAACCCCGTCTATTTCTTCTTGGGGAACTTTTCAGAACCGATGTCTGAACCACGCAGTTTAATGTTCAGCACACGCTCCATGGCTCCGAGAACCTTCTGGTCGGGGGCGGCGGTTCCACGCTCGAAATCCTGGATAATGGTGATAGTGGTGTTGCACTTGGTGGCGAGTTCCTTCTGGGTCATCTTGTAGCCCTCCTCAGTGCGGCGTCTCTTGATAGCATCAGCGACGGCGTGGCCGATGGTCTTGGGCTTGACGATATCGTCACTGCGGTCGACCTTGGTCAAATGTTGGCCTTCGGGGGCACCTGCCTTGGCGCTCTGGAGAGTGTGTTAGTAAAGATTCAAGGTCATTTTTCAGGGTTTTAGAAATGCCACATACAAGGTTACCGGTGGTGTACTTCTTCTCTGTGTAGACACCGCCAGCGCGCTGAGCGGCGTTCAGGGCACTCTTGCCCTTGACGACGGTCTCGCGGGGTTGAGCGCCAGCTCCGCGGAACTTGCTGCCAATCTTGGTGGTGCTTTCCCAGTCAGACATTTTGAAATGAGGTCGAATTTGGTGATGTGGGTGGTTGAGGTTGGTAAAAATGATAGGTGAGCGTGGGTGGAGATGACGTTGGTCGTGTGAGGGTAAAGAGAGAAATGCAATTTATATCGATGACACAGAAGCTTCTCGAGGGAGGGGAGCCCGCGCTAGTCCGTATTGGGCTTAGCGTATATCTGGGTCAATGGCGTCCGTGTTCGTACTGTGGCTCAGCTCTTCCTTTATATTTGAAATCATTTGCTATTTCTATCAGTTCTGTATGACTGGCAGTAGTTTGTTGCAGGGTCTTGCCTCTTTTCTACGGTTTCAATATTGCCCTAGGGGTTCGCTATACCCATCGGCAATCCCTCACCACACATTGATTGCCACAGCCACCTGCAATTATAACTACACAGTATTTCATACATTAAAGACTCCCAGTCTGACGATTCCGAATCAGCAAAAGCGTAAATAGTTCTTCAACAATACTATCTCCCGGGCATTTCATTGTAAAACTTACAGATTTAGTCCGCTTCAAACCATGGGCAAGACAATGATGAACGCGCCCCACAGCTTGATGTCATAAGGTTTTGCGTGCACATTTCCAGCCCTAATCATAGTCATCATGGGCGAAGGGCAACAAATGTATGCCTTCAACAACCAATCGCCATTCACAGACGCATGCCAGGTCCGCAGGTGCAGTGTCGTACCAAAGCAAGCATAAGAGTCATAATGAGTCTTCGATCAAGGGTCCCCACGATGAGGCTGAGCATGAGCTCGGGCACCAGGATAGGCTTAGTCTCTGCTCATCGTACATTATTGCATAGCCCTAGAGATAATTTAGGCCTACAGACTCTTGAGCTGGTCGGCGAGTCAATCTAAGAACAAAGTACAAGGAATGTTGGTCTTCGTTTCTTGTCAGTTATATCTTTCCTTTTATATCAGTGTTTCCATCTTTGGGTGGCATAGTCAGGTGATATATGTAGCAATATGAAGCAGTGTACATTAACTGGAGTTCATCTGAAGTCCATCGCCCACATATGAGAGAAAAACAATAGATACACAACAGTAGTATTCCCAAGTCTTCTTTCGGAGACAAAGAGCTAGCTTCCATGAGCAACTGCTCGATCATGGAACCTGTCCGGTCCTAGAATATATTGCCGCTCAGCATCCAGCTTGAAACATGATTTGAGGCCTATGTTCAAGGAGCACTTTCCCCCAATCAGCTGCCACGCGCACCATCGTATGGGCGAAGTGATCGCGCTTAGGCATCGTCTTAGAACGATCGAAAAGCAGACTAGGCCAGAAATTGATGGGCCTGTCCATATTTGATACAACTATCGTAGGATTCAATTAGAAAGGTTATTCCCGACCGAACTCATGCTTTCTATCCTGACTTCTTCTCGTTGTATGTCGGATTCATGGGTAGACTTGTAGCAGAATCTCTAGCCGCTCTCTTTTGTTTCGCTTCATCGCGTGTTCTAATGACCTACATAGGTAAGCTCTTTGTGGCTGTATGATTCAAGCTTTAGGGAGATTCGGATGTGATCCAGAATATCAGGAAAGTCATTGACTGAGATAAGTATGTATGTAGCCCAAAGCCAAGATCGTACCGCAACGAAAAGCTAATTAGCATTTGAACACTGGGATCCCTGAAATCTTTGGCCATAAGCCCGCCAATAAGCGATGCTGGTTGAGTTCAGTCAATCCATTCGAAGCAAAATTTCAAGCCACCAACGCCGTATCAATGAAAATGAATACAAAGCAAAATGACCGGCAAAATAGCCCGGCCGTATGATTAGAAGATGCTGTTCACGATGTTGGAGCCAACAGTAGCACCGGCACCGAAGATTGCTAATATCAAGTTAGAAACCAAATAACGAGTACCAAAAGTATATACGACGTACCGGCATTGCCCAGTTTCTTTCCAAACTTCTTGCCTCCTTCCTCGAACTTGTTTTTCTTTGGGTCGTCGGGGTTTTCAGGCTGTCCACTCTGGCTAACTGCAAGAGGCATGTTTCCATAGTTTGTAGGCGGGGGCGAAGAAAAACCAGCCTTGTCGTTCACAACGTTCACGTAGCTTCGAGGGAAGATACCCTCCTGGCCAGTTCGCTCGTTGCGACCACGCCACCCTGCTTATCATTAGCTCGGTATCCATATCAGATAAAGGGGAATATCATACAGTCGTCATTCATGTGCTCGATAATCTGGATGCGATCTTGCGGCTGCAGGGCCAAGTCACCGGCATCGGTAGGTGTGTATGCGTACATGGCCGAGGCGAGACTGAGGACTGGCGGGACTTGGGGATAAGCTGGCGGGGCCTGCGGGGGCTGGCTTGCATGCTGATTGTGCAAATAGGCTTTCTCATTCATGGACGCATTGGACATCTGTGAGACAGGAGGCGAGTATGAGGGCGTGTAGGGGGCCGGAGGGGGCTGCGCTTGCACTGGAACATGTTGGGCAGGCGCAGGCTGTGCCTGTTGTCGGGGCGGCGATGGTGATGCGTGCACCGTCCGAGAGGTCTCGGAATCAGTGGGTAACTGTGATAGAATGGAAGAGAGCTGGTGTGGAGTGATCACAGAGGCATCGGCAAGGAATTCTAGTTCCTGGATTATGTTGAATTAGTACCTGGATCACATTCCAGGAACAGGAAGCTGGGAAGCCATACCGTCCGGACCATGCGGAGCGACCGGGTGGTCATGGCAGACGCGAACTCGCTGGAGGCCGCCATTGCGAAAGGAGACGGGTGGTAGAGATTGAAGGAGGTAATTGCAGAATGAGAACAGAAGTTAAAAAAAAAAACTGGAGTCGGGATAGTCAGGAGACACAGGGGTTTGCTAGGTCGGGTGTTATTATGTAGCCTAAGCCAAGATCTGAGAATCTCCGCCCCGACGTCAACTGTAACATTGACATCAACTGCTAAAGATCATAAATTCCCTAATTAATTCCAAATTCTTACTAGATTTGAATTGCCTCTTATACCCGGCCTCGCCCTTTCTTTCCCGGATTCGATGAATTGATCCAAAAATATATATATAAACGGGTCAAATGGGGAATTGATCTGGACCTCAACAAGGAAGGTCGATACAACATCCCATTGTGTTCAATCAGAAACTCAACCTCAGCAGGGTCAATTCCTTGAAGTATCCACCATTCCATAACAGCAGGAGTCTTCATTTGCCTGCAACGATGTGAGCCTCATCGCCCCGCCTAGGTACATGGTTGTCAATAGCCGCGAGTGCCGTCGAGTTGACACTTGTTCCACACCCCCGGCCCTAGTGCAGGAGAGAGCGCATATTCCTGATCCTAAATTGGTCTGTCTCCTCTTTTTACTCGGGTTCGATCAACTCTGCACTCCAGAGCCCCAAAATGCGAAAGTGCCAAGAAAATCATGATGATAGCCCAACAACCAACTACCCTACACCATTTACATCACTCCTTCACTCCCCGCATAACAGAAATCCTATATATATTAACTTTCCCTAAGCCACGCTGCAGCAAGGATAAGTTACGCGCTGGCCGAAGAAAAGCCCCCATCTAGACCCGCAGTCCGTGTGAGAGCGTGATGCGGGCCGCAACTAGTGCAGTGACAACGGAGACTCGGGACATCGCAGCGCTTACACGCCCGCACTAGGTACCCTAGTGGGTTTCAGAAACCCGACAAAATTAAAGCCATGATGATAGTGTTCGTGATATCATTAGTTGGTGTTCTATTATTGCCACGGGGGAGGCGCCTCGCGAGCATGGGGGCTCTGTACTTGGCTCTGAATGAGGTGGGGATCGGCAAAGGATGCCCATCGATGACGGATGGAGCATGGAGGTGTTCTCTTAAGAGAAGGGGGCTTGGGCACTTGTTCGAGGATGCTCTCTTAGCCGTGGTTAATTCTTTGTATGGCCTACGTCTTATTATGAATTGATGTGCTTATGATTTTACAATGCTTTCTATACTGTTTTTTATATCTTTGTTTCCTTTTGTTAAGGCGGATGATAACTGGGATGATTTCACAAACAATCTTGCTACGGACTTGGTATGTTTATATCTATATGTTCTAAATGAGGTTCGGAGTGGATGTGCTGATTTTTCGACCGAAGGCTCCTTTAATCACCTTGTTCGGCGAACGACTTACAAAACAATTTCTGTCCGAGTCCATCAGCACTCTCGATAATGTCATCTTCGCCCTTTCACCGCTAGGGGTCCTGACTGCCGTGGTGTCGGTGATCAGGATCTGTGGAAGTTCTTCCCTCAGGGCATTCGTCGGACGAGCACAAGAAGGTCCTGCCGAAGCCGAAAGCGAACTCCTTCCTTGCGTCTCTGAATCCACTGCGGAGCTCTTCAACGATGGGGGCATTACGCGAGTCTTTGGCCGGCCCAAGATCGTGGAGATAGTTGCTTGGGAGGATGTGGACCATAAGACCGGAGAAAAGGCGACAAAGATTGGCACTTTGAAAGATGCCCTTGAAGAAAAGGCTTGGTCTTGCAATAGCAAAGTTCCACCTAGTGAACTGCCTGAACTGGACATCCCTAATCTGTCATTGAACAAGGGAATCAAGAGGAGAGATCAATTTTGGTTTCATTGTGCTGCAATACTTGGTGGTGTACTGCAGACTGGTTAGTACTTCTCCTTCTTTGAGCCTAAAATAACACTGACAATTCCACTAAGGCACTATTATGTACGCTACACTCACAGTGTTTGTATATCCCCAGCATTTCAAGAAAGACGACAAAGCTGTCGCCTCATACGCATTTCCACTCTATCTCATCGGGACAACTCTTCTGTTTTTCGGAATGTTCTTCTGCGCGTTCATTATGGAACGTTCCTCAAAGGAGTTCTATCTCAAAGCAGAAAGGCCAAGCAAGATATATTGGCTGCAGCCTGGTAATCAAGATGTGGGTGACCAGGTCTTCAATGCTTTCTTGGCCGTCAATGAAGGGCCGGAGTCTTCAATGACCAAGAAACTTCGTTATATCAAATCCATCAGAGATCGAAGATTTGACAGGAAGTATTTGGAGATTTACTCTACCCTCGCATCGACAATTTTGGGATTCGTCTTCCAGTTTATCGGACTGAGAGGCCTCCATGCGTCTGTCATCCTAGCCCAGCTTGGATCGACATTACTAATGTCCATTATACGTACCTGCCTGCGCACAGAGAGAATGGCACCAGACGAAAACAAAATGAAGGATGACCGGGATCTCATGGGTCATAAACAGCAGGAACTAGACTTCTTCGCCTTTTATCTCGAGAAAGTCGAGTACTTCAATATGGTCTCGCTGCCTGATCGGCCGGCCACGATGCCTTCACCAAGTTTCATTCCTCACATTGAAGCGCCATTGGCGAGACAGTTGATTCGGACACGGACTCAGCTGGCCAATCTCACATCCAACTCGAACCAGAGTTCAAATGCTACCTGGGACGACATGCCTATTCGACGAATGGCTCACAACCTCGCACAAACGATCGAATCGACGATGGATTTGATCTCCGGCTGGGGTGTTGACCTCGGGAAGACCTTTGAGTTCCGACTTGGCTTCGAGTGCAGATGTGCTTCTCCAGGCTCTGTCACCCAATCGCCGGGAACATATTCCATTGGTCTCATGCGTTGTGGTGATGCTCTTCGATGGAAAATGGAAGTCAGCGAGATGGAAGCGATACTAGGTCTATGGACCTGGTCTCTGTATAAGTCCAGCGAGGATTGCAGGTTTTCGAGACTCTTTCGTCTTGTTGGTCTAAGTGAAGAAGAGGCAAGCAAGGAAGAGACTTACCTTTACTTCCACAAATGGATATTCCGACAAACAGAGGCCCGACTGATCTCATCTGACCTGATTGATGACTCCCGGCGATTATTCGGGTTTGAACCTAAGGAAGGTCTTCCCTTAGGGGATCTTCTCGTTGTCAGGACTGAGAATGAAGTAGAGGCAATGGCTGCCCAAGATATCTTCATTCAATTTCTCAAAGAAGTTTGCCTTAGCGTGAAAGAGCTGGGCGGGGAAGTCGATGTCGTCTCTGGTATACAGAACTCGCTTTTGGGTTCCTGTACGCGAATCGATGAACTGGTATTCTGCTTTGAAGCCCATTCTCTTGGATCAAGGGAGGATGCATTACTATGCATTGTTCCTGTCCTGAGGGACCGAAACCTTTTGCCTGACCTTGCAGCTGACTGCCCTAAAGTCAGAGCGCGGAGAGAACAGCTCATACGCCAGGGAAAATGGCAAAATGTCTTTGCATTGCTTCGTTGGCTCTGCCAACGGTCAGAAGGATCCCAATTCCAACGATCAGTCTATGAGTTAGGTTGCCTTTGCCGCCGAGCATTGTTGAACAACAGCGAAACTGTTCGCAAGGAAGGGTTCGCACAACTTTGCAAGCTTCTCAACTCAGATATTAGAGAGGAGTTTCTTCAAGCTCAGAAAATATCGCTACCTTCTGATTTGACCGTGTCACAAGATCGTATGGACTGGTGGCGCTCATTCTCCAGCCAACTAGGCTGGACAGCATGGTGTATTTCAACGAAAGTACCGGGAATGAGCTTCATGCAGCCAGCTTTGAAGTCGCTCAACGCACCGGAGAGCTTGCCTGGTCTTGTCGGCACCGGCCAGGATCTAGAAGCCACCCAAGCGGGCATTCGCGCTATGCAAGATTGGCTCACGCTGCGGGATTTTGATAATACCGGGTTCAAACGCTCAGGAGAAGACGAGGATGACCAGTGGTGCTTCGATTGGGCCATCGAAAACAAATACCACGGCTTGCTTTATTTTCTTTTTTTGAAATGGGTGGAACTGAGTGAGGACATTCCGGTCCTTATCGCAGTTGCATACTATCTTGCAGCCAACAAGCACTCCCACTTTGCTATGCAGATCCTTCTTCGACAGGGTACCGATATTGACTCCCCTGATGTACAAGGCTGTCCCGCGTTGTTCAACCAAGCGGCAGTTGGAAATGTGGAGGGGGTAGTAATGTTGCTGGACAATGGCGCCGATCCTAATGGCAGTAACAAAGCTTCCCACGCAAGGCCACTGATCGCAGCCGTATATGGAGGGCATATTATGACCACGGCATCGCTTCTTCAATACGGGGCTAACGCGAACATATTAGACCAGCATGGAATGACAGCGCTGTGGTGGGCAATGGCCAGTGGCCATTTTGATATTGTTGAGTTGCTTTTATCCAGTGGCGCAGGGACAGAGTCAGTCGGTTCCGATGGCTTGACACCACTTCTTTGGGCTGCCACGGGGGAAAATCTTGCTGCCCTCGAGTTGTTGATAAAGCATGGAGCGAACATCAATGCTCAAGATACCACCGGGCGAACTGCACTTATGCGGGCAGTGTCTAGGGATCGTTCTCTGCCAGTGCTTCGGCTACTGTTAGACGAAGGAGCTGATGTTCATATGGAAGAAGAGAAGGGGCGTACAGCCCTGGATATGGCAAAAGAAAAGAACTTCCATGAGGCTATACCCATACTGGAGGGAGCCATCAGTTCGTAATTTCTTGGCATCTTGGCTACGTCTCACTCTAGAGTCTCCTTGAAAGAAAGCTTCTTCTCTCTTCCTAGTTAGCCCTTATTCATGATCTGTTTTCCTTGTTACTTCGAATTGAATCAAGGATATTCATTTCAAAGGTATTTTGCAGTAGAACTGCAATTGACCTCCCATCATATCGGCTATACTACCTAGGGTAACATTGAGGCCCCGAGCTCACAGTCGTCGGACTCTCAAAGTTTCTTTGCTCTTGGCCTCTATAGAGTTGTACAGTGGCCAATGAAGATCGCCAGTCGAGTATGGTGGTGCTTGGATCTGACCTATCAAGTTGTGCAGGGGGCACATAGAGAGGGGCAGAGAGGGCTGCTAAGCGCTCGGCGGGGATGAGCATGCAGTAGTCCAGTGTGACGGGGAGTACATCACAAATTGACTCTCTATCTGTTCCTTTCTGTCACACGGGTGATCGCTTCCTATGTATGCCAATTCTGGTCTAATTTTAGCCCGGAGCTTCGAGTGCGGAGTTCAAGTCGTGCTTTTAAATGGAATGGCCCGCCACAAGATGCTGTTCTCCCGGACAGCTTCTTCTCCAACCCTGATAACCCTCTCCCTAGGCTTCTCAAACTCTCAACTGGCCTGAAAGAAAGCAATTACAATTTATTCTATCCTGTAAAATCTACCTTGTACACATTTCATCGTTTCCTACCCCGCAACCCAAGAAGCCTGTGAGTGTCAGTCGGCAGCAGCTGGAATTTCATGCTAATCCTTGAGCAGCTCAATTCAATTGACCTCCATATGATTTCCCGTGTTTAACTCGATTTTATCATGTCACAGCAATATGAATTTGCCGCTCCGCCTATGTCTGGTAAGTACACAACTCTCGGGAAACACGCGCAGGCTAGCCAACTGACTTAAATAGCTCCTCCAACTCAGACATGTAATTAATATCCCGTCAATCGAAAGCAATGCCATACTAATGCTTCGAGTAGCGTTTTCACCACCCAGTCAACCATACTTCGCTCCACCACCCAGGCAAACGCCTCCGTCAAATGGGGGTTATCCGGTACCTCAACCCTCAATTAGCCCGGCCGCTATGAGCCCACCACCAAACAAACAGGGCTATTCCAGTGCAGAATATCCAGCTCCTCCATCAGCCAGTCCAACACCCAGTGATCCGATTGCCAAACAAAATGAGGCAGCATTCCTTCACAATCAGTCTATTGGTCAAGCAGTAACGATGGAAAAGATGCCCGGAGGGGCACCGGCATATGGACAGTTTGTCGGAGCACACTCGACCACCCAGGATGATGTTGGGATATTTAATGGAGGCAGCTACAGAATCAGCCACCGAGATACCAACTCACTTTTGACAATACAATTGGCAGTGGGTTGTCCTTTGACTGCCAGGCCAGGTAAGAGAGCACTTTGATAAACACTTGTCCAATGTGTCGATTCCATTAGTTCGTCGGTGTTTAAGTAAACTTACTTTGTAACAGGTGCAATGATTGCAATGTCGCCAACGATTACCCTAAGAGGAAGCTTTTCATTCTCGTTCAAGAAATGGCTCGTCGGTGGCAGCATGACTACGTCACATTACACTGGCCCAGGTGAGCTACTGCTTGCGCCCCCTATGCTGGGAGATATTATTGTCCTTCCTATCAACTCGGGAGAGCAATGGAATGTCGGAAGGGATTCCTTCCTTGCCCACACATCTGGTGTTCATCATGAATACGCGGCCCAGAGTCTCAGCAAAGGGTTCTTCTCCGGAGAAGGATTTTTCGTTTACGAGTTTACGGGCGACGGTTTGCTGTGGATGCAAAGTTTTGGAGCAATCATCAAGAAAGATGTAAATTCTCTCCTATCCTGTTCTTTACGCCATTGCTCTACTGATACAAGTTTATAATACAGCTTAAGGGCGGGGAATCTTACTTCGTCGACAATGGTCACCTTGTTGCATGGAAATGCGCCTATGAGATTGAGCGGGTTGCTTCTGGTGGGCTCGTCTCTGGTTTCAGTTCTCGCGAAGGACTAGCTTGCAAATTCAAAGGCCCAGGCACTGTGTATCTGCAAACCAGAAATCTCAAATCCTTTGCTGCCCAGATGAAGGTCACCAGCGCCAATATGTGATTCTAGCGCTTTGTATTGGATAAATCCAGAGGCAGCAATTTGCAGTTCGAGTTTCGATACTTTGATTTTATTTCCGCTAAATACGTTTTGGGTCCAAATCTGGCATCGGCCGATGTGCTGTTGTTGTATACTTACCCTATGCCTCAGGTGAAGGCCCAATCGCGAGCAGGTCTCAACGTTATATCAGGTTGTCAATAAGAGAATAGTACTCAATCATATTAGCCTCTTTCATTCACATGAAACTTCTTTTTCACTTTCCACCTTGTTACATCAAGATTCTTCAATAATTTTGATTAGTAGTCCTTACAAACTTATGTTGGGTTACGTATTCAGCCCAACTGTAGAACCTAGCCTGGAATCCTGGAATAGTCACCTCCATTGGCTGGTTATGCTGAAGACCAATTAAGAGGTCAATGTTCGAAGTCAAGCTAAACGCCAATGGCGGTTCTACTACAACCCTAAACGTTCACCAACAGGCAATACCACACAGCCTCCAAGGCAAGATATAGTGACATCAGTCCATTTCATGCGAAACTATTTTTTATTCTTCAAATCGTTTCCTCATCTCAAGCCCCTCAGGGTAGAAAGTAAGCAACATTGCTTTGTTTCCACCCCGCAAAAGCTCTAGTAAGTGACACGCCACAAGGAAGAGATAAAAACAAGCCCTTCCTTCGCAAATTGCCAGCACAGCTCCATCCGCTTAGCCCACACGCTTTCTGCGGCCGATCTGGGAACGGAAACCGGTTTTGATGGCGGCGACGGAACGACGGGATCCGCAGGAGTTGCAAGTGACGAAATACAGACGGTTCTCTCCCTTGTTGAGCTCGGTGTCCGGGCTGCGGCATGTCTTGCATGTGACGTACTCAACAATATAGCGACGCAGAACCGATTCGATACCCTTCTGTTGGAATCTTCCCTTGATGACCAGGCGACGGCTACCGTCGACACTGCCTGACGTACCGAGTTCGGCGAACAAGAATTGGGTGCAGTGTTCCTCGCTAATTAAAAAAGACAGTTAGAGACAAGATATCGACGAATAAATGGGCAAGGAGCAGAACGAACCTTCGCTTCATGCGCTTGCAGATATCGGCAATGTTGGCGAAAATGGTACGACGGTTACCTTCACGCAGGCACTGAGGCGGGGGGATCTTGTAGGACTTGGCGCCGCTGGCCAGAAGGTCGGGGTGGTGGCTCTCGATGAGGGAGAAGAAGCGGGAGACAAGGAGCGAGTAGGGGATGGCTTGTGTGGCGTCGTGTGCCCAGATACCGGTGCCGGCCTCGAGGTCGCCCTCAGGGAGTTCCTCGGGCTGCTCCTCGCCAGCCTCCTCAGCAATACCGGCTTCAGCAAGCTTGGCATCGAAGTCGGTGGCGTCGGCCTTCTTAGACTTGCTGCTGCTCTTCTTTTTCTTCTTCAGCGCGGAGGGATCGAATTCGCCATCGGCGGCGGGGGCTTCCTCGTCATCGCCGGCGTCGGCAGTCTTAGACTTCTTGGAGGACTTCTTCTTTTTTGAGAGACCCTTGAACATCTCGGTGACCTCGTCGACTTCCTTCTCTGTATATTCAAGGTATCGTTAGTGGGGCTGTGGCAAAGGCGACTGGGGGATTGAGGCTGGGATCGGAGAGGTATTGCATACCGCCTGTGGGCTTGTCGGCCGGAGGGGCATCTGTGACTTGGCCGTTGGTATCCATGATGACCGATCCTTCGCTGAATGCGACCGACTTGCGCTGTTTCGTCTCGATTTCCTGAGTGGAGCGGCAAAAAGCGGTGTTAGTTCTGGAAAAAAAGAGAAAAAGCAGAAGAAATCGTGTAGCCTGGCTTTTCAATAGAAAGTACCAGTCCTTAACCCCGGGCTCAACGATGCGTGTTCTTGGATAACTGTGGTTGGCGGCCGAGGGGTCGATATTGTGCAGACTCAAAGAAAATGTGGGAGGGTCGGTAAAAAGACAAGGGTGTGACGTACAGCGTCCGCCATGTTTTGAGGCTTCAAAGGTGCTATTCACTCCACCACAATTTGTTGGAGAAGAGTTCAAGTTCTTGCGAGTTCGAGGAGCTAGAGTAAGAGTGTAAAAGGGCAAAATTGTCGCTGGAATCTGATATCGCCAAGGCCTGAAAGGTTGGTTCTGATATCGCGGTACGAGCCACGTGACCTTCGACTGAGTCACCATATTACAGGTCACGTGCTTAATTACGGAACTTGGCGTTGCCGGTCGATCCAGGCAAACAAGTCAGGTTGCTCTCACATTTACGTATAACCGCAGTAGGCAGGCCGCTGCTTGATCAACATCGCTTCCCCTCATTTACTCACCCCCACCTCTCTTTACAACAATTGTCCACCATGTCTTTCCCCTCTCCAGACAGCTCGAATCCCTCCTTCTCGATGTCCGCGTACATGGTCCCCTCCAGACAGAACTCATACTCCGAATCCGAAGATGAGCTCGCTTCTCTCCCTTCAGAGTCTACAAACGAGTCCGACCTCGACACCTTGTCCGAATATTCCTCCGATGCCGAGGCAGAATGGCAAGAAAGCATTGAACAACTGGAGCTTCTTCTGACTATGGTCCTGGTACCCTTCATTGGGAAATACCTAGGGCGACGATGCGCATATTGGAGTACGTGACGCCAACAAACTTAACGGATACTTGCTGTACGAGAGGGCAACTTGCTGATTGGTTGATCTTTTAGGTTGGACACGATTCATGCAGTGGAAGTACCCGGTAGAGGTGGTGATGCGGAACCCGGCCGCGTTCAAGGCAGCAGGTGTGGTCGAGGCGGCTGCGAGTCTATGATGGATTATAGTCCGAATCGCCTTGTAGGCACTTGCTACATGTCACTTTTTCAAGCGCGCCATCGTCAACCGTACGATCCCCACTTCTCAGCGTTCGAATCCCTATACAAGATCGACCCGACTTATTTTCGTGGACTCCGCAACATATCCACGATCGAAAAGCTACAAGATTGCCTCCCTAATAATCCTTGCGCTGATTGTATTTGGCGTTGCGCGGGGAGCCGGAACCTAATCCAGTGTCGTTTTCCCTGGCCTTCCATCTCCCCTGGTTCGCAATTGTCCTTCGTCCAACGTCGGCATACATGGATAGGTCAACTCCATAGCTTGAATAGAGACAAGCATTTGGATTTGAGCCATCTGATGATGTGTTTAATTCCCCTGTTCAAGGCTGTTATATACCCAATGAATTCATCAACCCTCATCAAGATCGATAAACCAGCGCGAAAGCGTGCCGTCTAAGCCATCACTGATTTACAGGTTTTCTTCTACGGCTGAAAGTTGATGAGCTTGATTTAGATAAAATGTGTGCACTCAATCTCGGGCTGAACTAGCCCAATCATTGTTACAGGCTCCGGCCTGGTCATACGAGTTCGAACGGGAGGTCGCCACAATCTCTATTGACAGCTGGCTTTAAGCTAGCTAGGTATGTACATGAAGCTGGCGATACTTTGTTTTCATATGGTTGATGATTCATGCAAATGTGATCAAGCTTGCTATTGACACTTTCGACTGTCCAATTTGATAACCATGTTGCCGATGAAGATCAATAGAGTCTGTTCTGTCGCCAGAAGTCAGATAATCCCGGAGGCTGAGTCTGTCCCGCATCAATCCCAGTTGACGCGCGCGGTTGTGACTGGCCGTAACCAGTAGCCAGCCATGGCAAATCATTGTTCTGGTCAACACAAGGACCATTCGAATGGCTCGTAGATAGCTTTTGTTGCCAAGAAGGCTCAGGTGGGCTTTCATCATACCGGTCTTGTATGACGTCTTGGGAAACCGTTACCAAATGCTCTAGCTCTCCCTCCTCTACCCGTCGGGTAGGAATATCGGAGTCACGCATACTAGTCGACTCTGGAGTATTCGGGAGATCATTGCCATTGAGTTCAGGTGATTCAAGTAGCTGCTGTAAGTCCGATGCAACTTCTGCCGCAACTTCAGGGCGCACGATGGCACAGTAAGCAGCATCCAGAGTGCGATAGAACACATCATCATCGACTCGACCCAGCTCATAAAATTCAATGTCAGACATGTGCGGCTGTTCAACCTCTGCGGATGCAGGAAAAAGGACTGCATCTTCTGCTGATTCCTGATGGAAAGGCTCACACTGATCTTCATTCAAGGTGTCTATGAAACGATCTAGCCTGTTTGATATCATGACAGCTTGCAGGTTTAGACAGCCCGGTTTATCTGAAGCTTCATGTGGTCCGTCTTGTTGCTCAAGAACCGAAGGTTGCTGGGGTGGACCGTTGTTCACACTGCAAGCTGTTTCACCAGCGACGTTCGAATCCGGGGATTGTTTGGGCGTTTCGTTCTGTACACTACCGGCATTGGGAATATCCAAAATGTCCGGTGCAATGATCTCAGGAACCTCTTCTGGAGCGGCTTCGGCTGCAGCTAGTTGGCCTAAGTTGGATTCGGGTGAAGCTCGCTTTTTGTTGTCGGCTTCGTTTGACCATGATGTCTTTCTCTCCTCTAGCAGCTCCCATAATTCAGCGAGACTCCAATATCGTCTGGTCAAGACAATATCTGTGATCTCGGAGCATAGCGCTTGGGGATAGACTCCGACATGCAGCAGGTTCAGCAGGTGTTGTTCGAGAGCATCGCTTTGTTCCGTGTTGTCGACCTCAGTTTCGGTCCAAGTGTATGGAATAGATGAAGATTCTTTGGATATCTTCCTTCTTTTATTGTGGGGCACGGGGGAAGCACTCCGAGAGCGGCCGGAAACTGGCGAAATCTCGCTGACGGGCACCTCTTTAAATGTGAACCGCGGCATGATCAAAGCGTCATGTTGACGTTCCACATCAAGCAACTTGTTGTCTGAGTGAGACGTGTCGAGTTTGGAGTCATGTGCAGGGTCGTCGAACTGTAGCTCTTGTGGGTAGTACTCTCTCTCATGCTGTCCATCCAGACTGTCTCTGACAGTAGACGTGGGATAGGGGCTGAGGTTATTCCTCCGGGACAGAAAGTTCATCTCAGAAAAGGCAAGATCAGATTCTGCAACATACTTATGAGACTTTGTGGCTGATGCAGGTTTTGCAAGAGCGATAGACGGGGTATTTCTGTGGTGATTAGTTGTAGAAGAAGACCGGCCCTTGCTGAATATACCCAGGTTCGTATTGCTGCGCAGCTATTTGGCGTAAGTAACACTCAGCGAGAATTTGTGGGATCCTACTTACTGTCAATCTGTTTCCTGTGACATTGATAGCATGGAAGTCATCATTCATGGTGTGCCTTCTGCCCCTGGGCTTTTTGGCTCTTCCTTTGCGAGACTGCGACTGGGTCTCCACCGCCGATGATGGGCCTTTGTACTCATAGCGATCCTCGCGAGTCTTGTATCTGGGCCTTAGCTCGTAACAATTTCGAGATCTCTTATGACTTTCACTTCCTGGTATGGTCTCGTTTTCCTTGAGGTGGTCTGAATCTCTCTTCCTGCTAGCTGGATGTCCATTCCCACGCACGTCATCAGATACCTCAAGTGGGATCCGGATTCGTGGTATGCTCGCTTCAAGAGCTGTATCCTTCACTTGTTCCTGGTTCTCGGCTAAACTCTGTTAGCGCAGAAGCTTCATAGTTCTTGCGACAACATACTTTGTTCCTGGTCCTCCACAGTGGAAAGCCACTGGTAAATTGGATTATTGCTCTCCATCAAGAAAGTTCCTAGAACTCTGCGACTGGGCGTATTTGCAGAAATGAAGTAGATTTTGAAGGGCAACCGGACAGAGTAAGGCGACCCGAAAGCACACAAATTCAGTCACCGCCGAAGAAGGTGCGACCATCTCAACTTCGTTCCGCTGGTCCTGTCTTTTCATTGTTTCTTCATCTTTCCATAAATTCCCAAAGTTTGCTCTTTTGATGCTCTCTCTCGGCCGTTAGATCGGATGGTTCCTTAAATAGATTCATCTATGAAGTGCTTCTGCTCAGAAGCTTTCGGTGCCATTCTTCCATACCTGGTCTTTCACGGACCTACTGAAGATGGATGTTGACATTGTATAGACGCAACCCTGGGCCCAATCGTCGCCATTTCCCGGGATCTCTCCTGGCATACGGAGGACGGGGCCCACGGCCCAAGCCGCATGTGGGCCTACGGAGCACTGCCCTCTCTGCCCCGACGCACGCACACCCAAAACCACTTCTGGGACTGACGATGGCCACAACTGAGAGGCTAGACCGATGGCGGTAATCAAATGCAGATCCCAGTCTGCATTGCTGGACCAACTTTTAGCAGTCGATTCCCGACCGAATGAGGAGAAAAATCCACAATGCATAAAACCACCCATACAACCAATCATGCATGGGCCTGCGAGGTACGGGGAATCCAACAAAATTCCACAGCGGAGACTCCACCCGAGATAGTGTTGCTTTCATGAATGGACTTACGTCCCTGCCTTTGTGGACAAGAAATATGGGCTTAGTCTGTACTCTGTACGGAGTAATCCGTACAAGAAGTCACAATAGAATCCAGGTGCTAATCCAGCCCTATGAAACCCCACGGAGGATCCCTCGCATTTTCAACCAAGTGAGGGGCAAACAAAGGTACATCAGCCGTTGCCCTTAGTGCCGCCAATCCAAACGGATCCCCGGATACCATTTGATTGATTGCTGAAAGCCCGACCCGCAATTGAATCAACTCAAGGCTTAGGGCCGTGGGACTGGCTTTGGCGTGTTTTTCTCTGCAACATTCCCCCTCCCCTCACCTCGGATTTCTTGAGGCTAAGCCCTTTTCTCACTCTGGTCAAGCTCGCAGACAAAGACACAGTAAGCATTTATGGATATTGCTCGTTGTGGACTTGCCGTTGGTGTCCGACCAGCGGAAAATCCCCGGCAATGTGGAAGCCCTAACGCAGTGTGATTGTTACACGGGACTGGATGCTGACTCGCCTCTTAACCACTAGGATCTCCCTGTCATCTCACTACCCGGACGGATTCTGATTTTTAACCTTCCTTTCTTTTCGATCATCTCCTTCCTTCAACCCTCATCCTCTCGTCCTCGGATAGTCAGCTCGAGCGTCGTCTTCCTTCCAGCTTCCTTTGTCAGATCTTTAACACGATGTCTAAGCTTTTTGTTCAGTGTGTATTTTCTATCTGCGAACAGATTTGTACTGGTTAGAGCCGGTCTAACCGTTGCTACGATGGAATTTAGCGGCCTTTCTTGGCATACTAACGATGAGACCTTGCGCGAGGGTTTCCAGCAATTTGGTGAGATCCAAGAAGCCGTCAGTCTACCTTGACTAGAGTACCCTCCATGTCTCATGAGCTTCTACTCACTTTACTGGCTATAGATTGTCGTAAAGGACCGTGCGACTTTGCGCAGCCGCGGCTTTGGCTTTGTCCGCTTTGCTACCGACGCCGAGGCGGATGCTGCTTTGGCCGCCATGAACAACCAGGAGTAATCATTCAACCTCACATTCATCTTGAGTTCAAGAGAAATCTCATACGTTGTTCAGATTCGACGGACGGGTCATTCGCGTTGACAAGGCGTTTGACCGCCCCCAACGCGCCGAAGGTGGCTTCCAGGGCCGTGGTGGATACAATTCCCAGCCCCAATCTAGTTACCAGGGTGGTGCAGGGGGTTATGCTGGCTACAACAATGGCGGGTACAATAACGGTGCTGGTGGATACGGCGGGGGCTACAACCGTGGTTACAACAACAGCTACGCCCCTAGCGGGCCCGCTGGATACGGCGCAGGTGGTCCGGGCGGTTATGGTTAGTCTTTTATTAAGACTTTTCTTGTCGTTTTTTCGCTAATTAGTTATATAGGCGGTGGCCCCAATACCGGATATGGCGGTGGCGGAGGTGAGTTATTGTGTTATCTTCACGGCGATATTAACTGACACCTAAAGGCTGGCGCGGAAACAACCACGAGCAGGCCCCTCAAGACGGTCACCATTAGATGATTGGGCGTATTTTGAGTTCCTCCTTATGTGCCTTTCTACTTCGGCGATTCCTTCTAAAAGAAGTGACGATCTACAACGGCTGGAATACGGTGCAAGATGAACTGGGAACAGCGGGGTGCTACCCTGGTGATTGAATTTTGGAACGGGGGATGGCTAACTTTCCCTTGCGTTCGACTTGCTAGGAAGGGAACATGGGTTTCTGGCTCGACCTTGAGTTTTATTCGCTGCAGATTTGAGTTTTTATACTGTTGCGTTTCGCGCTAGCTCGCCTACAAAATTTTGTGTCTTCTCTCTTTTGGCAGATTGACCCATGTGGTAAAATACCTGCGATGTCTGTTTACGTTCCACGGCATATCCTTCCTATAACAGGGAATACAGAGCAAGGCCGGTGGTTTGACGGATATTTAAGCATAATCCGAATCTCTCCAGCAAGGGTTACGGACAACGGACCGAACTATGTGCCACAACCACGAGGGGTTTTCCAGGGAAGAAAATCAGGCATCGCCTACCACCGCTACCTAATGTTCTATGATTTTGGGCGACCATTATGGTCATGCGAGATACAATTCCCGTTATGCATCCTTTGTAGAAAAGGTCTTTCCTGCCCAGGCTAGCAACAGGAATAGTCCAAAGCAAGATATACTACCCCAAAGAACTCCATAACAAGATCAGACAAAACCAGAGTTACCCGGAGCCCACACAATCCATAGCATAAAAACAGTGTAACTATTTCTTATTGCCAAAACCATACATAACGAGCGAAACACAGTAAACCGTTTATATAGGCTTGTTGCACTGGTTCGATCCGCCACCCATAGAGGGTTCCGATAGTTTTGCCCACTATCTTTCGAAGGAAAGAAAACCTATAGGATCTGTCCAATCGCTTCTCTCGCATCTATTATTCTACCAAGCAAATATGTAACCTATACTATGTGCAACAAAAGAGCATAAAGGCCATCAACAGAGCCTCGACCCGTAAACCTCATTCAATCGTCTCACGGCCATCACGATCAACCTCTTCAGCCGGGACCTCCAAAGACCTAGTAACCTTAAGCTCAGCCTCCTCCTCCTCAGCCTCCGCAAGTCCCTCAGCCTCAATAGCCTTAACCCTCTTAACCAAATCCGTGACATGAACATCCGCAGTCCCAAGCCCAAGACCCTCAAGACCCTTCTCCAGCATGAACAAATACTCAGAACCCTTCCCACTCAAACCGTGCCCAGCACTAATGACCTGCGCCACATGCTGCGGCTCGCGATGAGCTGCTTCACGCAGGAACTGCGGGTTAGTCGGCTGGCCGATGTAGACCATACAGATGATTGGAGACACGGACAAGCCGTCGGCTCCTTCGATATCCACTATTGGGTGGAAGGGCGTGTAGTGCGCGCTGTACCCGTCGATCTCCCGCTCGTCGAGGTAGTCGTGGACTTCTTCGGCATGGGATGCTGGGATGTGGTACGCTGCGCCCCAGACTTTGCCTGTGGAGGATAATTCGGATTCTAGGTGGGCGAGCTAGATGGTATCTTAATATGGCTGTGCATATCAGGGCGCATTTGGGACATACCGGGTCATCCAGGGTCTCCCAGAAGGTTCGTTCAATTACCGTGACTACTCGGCCCGGTTGCTCGGGGGTGCCGCGGTGATCGGTACTTTGGGGGCATGTTAGTGATTGTGATTCTCAGTAGTTTTGCATGGCAGTGCATCTGCGTATTCCGACAATCGACAACATACCTGGCCTAGAATTCATGGACAATAACCACGATGTTAGTCTAGTTATTTCGAACGTGGGCATGTATACAGCCCTTCCCTCAAGTGAAGGACTAACGCACCTGCCAGAAACGCCGTACGTAGCCACTAATGTAGCCCGGTACACGCTGGTCTAGACGATATGGTTAGTCGATTGATTCTTGATCAAAAGTGACCAAGACGATGTCTCGTTTTGGTGCTGCCATTGAGCTCTTTCACATCGCAGTCTCGCGTACCATAATGTGGAGGCGGTTTCCAGATCAGACTCCTATAAACATATTCAGTATTCGATGTCCAACGCCTTAGTGACACCATTTTGAAACAATAAGTCAACTCACCCATAACCAAATACCCAGAGGTCACCCTTAGGAAAATGATTCTTCCACGTCCGACCGTCTGGATGGACCTGATGACCTTGTGCAATGGCAGCCATATCAACTATACTAATGCCGAATGTGCCACGCTGAGTTTATTGGCTGCGCTTTTCAACCTTCCGGGGAGGGGATGGATTAATAATTCGCTCCAGCGACGGCTTCAAGGCTATTTTTGCGGGGGAACAGCCGGTCAACTCGAGGGAAAAAAACTAAGAACTAGAAATGTTCACCAAAGATGAGATGCTGTTATAAATTTGAATTGATCACAATTGTATGAACATTCCAAATGTTCGAGTTGGCCAGAATTGATTATACACTGATTTTGTTTGCAGTGTTTGTTCTTAAGCATGCCGCCATCTGTGTGATAGATGAGACATGCGAACACTTCAGAGTATGCGGGATAAACGAGTGCTCAGATGATATATTCATTAGCCATATCAAATATCTTCACATCTATGACCCAAATAGAAGGTACCTAGTGTGGGATCCTATTCATGTGAGACGTCGGCTCCTGTCTTTAGAAATGTCTCGAACGAACCTCCTTTCAACGGAAGGGCCAATCCCGAGCAAAAATGGCAGAAATGAAGAATACATACAGATGCCTGTTCCTCTGGGACGACTGACAATGTATAGGTGCAGCATAGTACAGAGTTGACGGCCTTCGAGAGCTGCTTGTTGCCACTCAGCTTGCCACCCTTGCTCTTCGATGCATCGTACATGTGTTCATCGGTCTTCAAACAGCCCCTGGAAGCCAACAAGTTTGAGCCTGAGACTTACAGGCCCTCGTTCTATTGGTCTTGTATGGGATCTGGAAGCCTGCGATGGCTACATAAGCCAATCGCTCTTGTCACTGAGGCTCTGCTGTACATATCCCCTATATCTTCCTCTCTTTGGCAAAATAACCATGTCGATCAAAATTCCTTTTCTGAGTGAGATGCTTAATCTGAGTCGCAAACGCGGAGATCCTTTATCTGAACCACAGCAGATTGAACACAAGCTATCTGAGTGGCAGCCTTCCTACCTCCAGCGACGAGTGTTGATCATATTTGCGGTCCTATTTTGTGGAGTCATAGCTGCTCTCGAAGCACTCAACCATGTCTCCGAAGTTCATTATGCAATTGCCTCTTCATACGAAAGCCGCCACTACCTGTGGACTTACGTACCCACTACCATCTTCACTATCATCGCGACCTTTTGGTCGCGCGTTGAATTTCAAGTGAAGCAAAGAGCGCCATGGAAGTCGATGGCTGAGAAGCCCGCGGAGGCTGGAGAATCCATACTATTGGACTATGTATCTGGGATGCAGCCAGCGTCACTGGCCAAAGCCATAAAAAACAAGCACTTCGATGTGGCGGCTGCAGTTGCCTGCTCTATGCTTCTGCGTCTCTCGGTCATTTTTTCAACCGGCCTCTTTTCACTGCAAACGGGTCATGTCCGTCAAAAGTCGGTGTCAATTACAATTGTCAGTGAAAATCGGATCGCCATTACTCAGGTCTCACTCCGTGTTACGGAGGTTTGCATGATACTAGGGATCTTGCTCGCTGTTTCCATGATCATTCTGGGGCCACACACGACCATCGCACCTTGGAACCCGACTTCCCTTTCATCTGTTGCCACGATTATGGCAAAAAGCAACGAAATTGGTCGATCACTTCGTGGAACAGGTGTGGCTCCATCAGATGCGCTTGGTGATAGTCTGAAAGAGCGGCGCTACTATTCACAACTTACGCCCGACGGCTTTTTGGTCAAAACAGAAGCAGTTGACATCAGAAGACTCCACAATCAAGAGAAACACACCTTGACATGGGTACCATTTCCTGGTCTCATTGCTCGCGGTGTCATATTCAGTGCTGTCGCTTTACTTGCTGTAGCCTTGGAGATTGCATTCCGTGTCTCGCAAAAGAACGATGGACTGGGAGACGTCTGCTCCAATGGATACCAGCATTACCTGTGGACGATTATTCCCTCGCTAGTCATGCTTAGCGTTGGTGTCTTGTTCGAAAGGATGGACTTCAACACCCGAAGCCTCGTACCCTACGCACAGTTGAAACGGCCTGCCGGTGCGCTATTCGAGGAATCCATGGCGGTGAATTACCCAGATTCGCTCCCCACAACCCACATCGTCCGTTCAATCCGCAGAAAACACTTTGCCATTCTAGCTACTACATTAGCTGCCTTGCTCACCTCGTTCCTAGTCATCGTCACGAGCGGCTTGTACTCTACAGTCGAGGTTCCCCACCGGATCAGTTTAAATTTCACACAAGAGAGCACTCTTTACCAAGGCAATTCAGCAGATGCTGATCAAAACTCCAGCGTGATTGTTGCCAAAGATATTCTTCTGAAAAATCTGACTTTCCCCCGCTGGACCTACGACGAGCTCGCATTCCCTAAGCTTTCCATGGATATGCCATTGTCCAGCAATGATGCAGAGAATTCATTCGTGGACATTCGGATGCCTGCTTTGAGAGCTGCTCCTGCCTGTTATTTCCAAACGGGCAGTCAACTGCAGTGGAATTTTACAAAGGTCAAGTATGGTAACGAGTCAACCTACCAACTCAGGGTTCTCGCACCTAGCATGCCCTGTTCTCTGGAAGGCCAAGACGTGGGATCGACTTCTTCGACTTCTTCGCCGGTTCTCCTCAGATCCCAAGGCCTTTTCGGGCAATCACTCATGCTCCCATGCGGCAACAGCCACATTACTAAACCCGCAACCTTGTATATCTGGGGAGATATCCAAATCGATTCTGCGGAGAATATAAGTGCGATGACATGTATTGGAGCCGCCGAAACAGTGGATACCCTGACAAGATTTCATCTGCCTGGCTTCGACATCACTGATGACCATCACCCAGTCCCTGACGAGTCATCTGTCAGATCAGCCCCAGATGTTGATATCCCGTGGATCAGTTGGAACAGTTTCAACACCACAGATGCTACAGCCGAGAACCCAAACTTGGATGGGTTTTTCGCAGCGCTGATTATGGGGAAATATGCGATCCCAGCAGAAAATCTCTTGAATCCAGACTCCAGCGACATGGTCATCAAGGCAATTAACCACCAGGATAGGATCCTCAAAGCACAGGTATTTAACAATTACTCTCGCGGTGCGGCAGACGGCGTGCTGGACCACGCTCATGTACCCGGAAACGTTACGGTGTCGAACCGACTGCGTCTATTGCAAGACGCAACGTCAACGCGCGTTCTTGAAGCGCTTCTCGCTTCTATCCTCGTGCTGGGGATCATCAGTTCCATTCTCATCAACACGGATCATGTCTTGCCAGAGAACCCGTCCAGCATTGCCGCCGTCGCTAGTCTTCTTGCTGACTCAAATATCCTCGCTCGATACAAGAAGGTCGTGGGTGATCCGAATGAACGGTCCCTTGCTCAGGCTTTCTTTCCCCGGTGTCGCTTTTTCCTCGGGTTCCAGAGGGATGTGTCTGATCAAGGAGATCCTTGGCAGTTATCAGAAGACCAGGGTTGCGAGAAGTACTGTGTATACTTTTCAGAGCGGGATGGTGAGACGATGCTGGGTAACGGGTCGATGTGGATGACGAAGGAATTCCGGGCAAAGGGAACTAGGGTTGAAGAGCGGTTAGCATAAGGCTTTTGTTTTGAAGAAACTGTGGACAGATTTTACTCATGTATGCATCGTGAGAGTTATCATACCCAAACTGTTATATTTCCTTCCTGTTCATTCTTGGCATCTATGATCTGGACTATGGCAAGGGTTAACATAAAAGAGGCGGATAATGCTCAGGACACCTTGATCTACGTTAATGCATTCATGGATACTCCTATTATTAGGCCATTTGCGGCACCTATCATACTTAACTAGTTCAGTCTCCAAGTCTGTGTATGTAGTTACGTATCCAGGGCTGGTCCTTTATCGCATCCTTATCGCTATCGCTATCGTTTATCGTTTATCTGCCCTGGTGTTATCGGCCTCTTTTTCTCCCTCAAGCAACCACCGGACGCGCCTCCGACGCTTGGTATTTTGTTTACTTGAATTTCTTTTTTTGAAGCTTTTGAATCAAGATCTCAATCATGGCAGCCCTCCTTCGCCTCCTCAAAATGCAGTACACCCCTCCCATCGATCCCAAAGGTGTGTCCTTCGCTGGCAAGATCGTCATTTTGACAGGTGCCAGCTCTGGTCTTGGCTTCGAAGCTGCCATCAAAATCCTCAATCTCGGTGTCGAGTCTCTCATTATTGGATCTCGCAGTGTGGAAAAAGGCAACAAGGCCAAAGCCGACCTCGAAAAGGCCACTAACCGACGCAACGTGGTCAAAGTGTGGGAGCTCGAGATGAACAGCTTCCAGAGCGTCAAAGGCTTCGCTGAACGCGTCAATCGCGAGCTGGACCGTGTCGATATTGCTTTGCTTAATGCTGGTCTTTGGAATCGAGAATACAACCAATCCTCCGAGGGCTGGGAAGAGACTCTACAAGTCAACACACTATCGACCTCGATGCTAGCCTTACTTCTACTTCCCAAGCTAAAGAAAAGCTCCTATTCCGAAAACCCCGCCCACCTGGCCGTCGTTTCAAGTCAACAATTCGTTCGTGTGAAGGCTGAAACCGTCCGGACCGATGACTCGCTCCTCTCTCATGTGAACGACCCGGCCAACTTCAAGGGTCCCAAGCAGTACGGCATTTCGAAGCTTCTGCTTGAATTCATGATCAAGAATATCGCCAATATGGTGCGCGACGACGACGGCACCCATACCCTCATTGTTAATACCGTCAGCCCCGGGCTGTGCATCTCAGCTTTGGGTCGCCAATACACTCATTGGTGGGAGAAGTGTTTCGTTTGGGTTATGCACAGATTGTTCGCGCGGACTACCGAGCAGGGAAGCCGATCGCTGGTTAGCGCGACTCTCCTGGGGGTTGAATCGCAGGGAAAATGCTGGCGCAGTGAGGGATATCTTGAGTAAGACAATCTTTTACCATATTGCAGTGTCACCATTGCTAATGATTCTATAGTGAGTCAGCTGCGCTGACTACTGGTCTGGAGGGAGAGGAACTCCAGGAAAAGGCTTGGGAGGAGATTATCGCCGTGCTGGAGGAGCAAGCGCCGGAAGTGTCCCTCATCTCTCGTGGCCTGTACCAAGGCGTTTAAATGTTATGACTCCGGCGAGCCAACAAGGCTCGACCGAGGAGTGGTTTGTACGTGTGCCTAGCGCATCTTTGCAGAAAACCAAGCGTTCTTGCCTCATTGAGATACCCCTGTTAATATTACTGTGTGATTACTGAAATCCTTTTGGCTTTTACTTTTGACTTCAACAGTACATACACAACATGCATTGCATCCTCACAATCCTCGTCAGATCTAGTCCAAATACGCTACAGACCTTATAATTCACGATTTGAAACAGTGGGTTCAGCTTCAGCACCGTTATCCAGCAGGATCTGCACCACCTTCTCTCGGCCTTCCTGTAATGCGGCCTGGAGGGCGTTGCCATATTCACCACCTTGAGCATTGACGTCGGCACCATGATCTAGTAGGATCTGCACCACCTTCTCACGGCCCATACATGATGCGGCCTGGAGGGCGTTGCCATAGAAACCTCCTTGAGCATTGACGTCGGCACCATGCTCTAGTAGGATCTGCACCACCTTCTCACGGCCGGTAAATGATGCGGCCTGGAGCGCATTGCCATAGAAATCTCCTTGAGCATTGACGTCGGCACCGTGCTCTACTAGGATCTGCACCACCTTCTCATGGCCTGCATATAATGCGGCCTGGAGCGCATTGCGCAATTCACCACCTTGAGCATTGACGTCGGCACCATGATCTAGTAGGATCTGCACCACCTTCTTATGGCCTTGAAATGATGCGGCCTGGAGCGCGTTGCCATATTCACCACCTTGAGCATTGACGTCGGCACCATGATCTAGTAGGATCTGCACCACCTTCTCACGGCCCACGTATGATGCGGCCTGGAGCACGTTGCCCAACCCACCACCTTGAGCATTGACGTCGGCACCATGATCTAGTAGGATCTGCACCACCTTCTCATGGCCTGCATATGATGCGGCCTGGAGCGGATTGCCATAGAAACCTCCTTGAGCATTGACGCCGGCACCATGATCTAGTATGATCTGCACCACCTTCTCATGGCCTGCATATGATGCGGCCTGGAGCGCACTGCCAAAATGACCCCCTTGAGAATTGACATCGGCACCTCGATCTAGCAGGATCTGCACCACCTTCTTATGGCCTTGAAATGATGCGGCCTGGAGCGCACTGCCATAATGACCGCCTTGAGAATTGACATCGGCACCATGATCTAGCAGGGTCCGCACCGCCTTCTCACGGCCCACGTATGATGCGGCCTGGAGCGCGTTGCCATAGACACCCCCTTGAGCATTGGCATCGGCACCATGATCTAGCAGGGTGTGCACCATCCTCTCATCCACCGCCCTTTTATAGTATTCCTCCTGGACCGAGTCGCCAAATAATCCGCATGATGCAGCTTGGAGCGCGTTGCCATAGACACCCCCTTGAGCATTGACGCCGACACCATGATCTAGCAGGGTTTCCGCCACCTTCTCATGCACCGACTTGTGAGTATTTAAAGCGGCATCTATTGTGATCTCCTCCCCCAAGCTCGCTATGAGGGCAGTGAAGACGTGCTCCAATCTCAAAAGGATTGCGTAGTATAACGGCGACGGGATATCCTCGGTAGCACGGTTAAAGTTGTGGCGCATCAGACGACCAACATATTTTCCGTCCAATAGACGGTCAATATCATACACCTGTACCCATGCCAGAAATGACTCTGGCTGGTCTTTGAATAGCCTCAAGACTAAGGGTTCAATGTCAGACTTCCCCTTCCCAGAATTGTTGTAAAAACGGAACCATTGCATAGCGGCAAAGTGAGCCAAAGGAAACATCTCCAGCTTTGCTTCATTAAATTCTCCATTCGAGAGCGTTGGGTCTAGGAGGTAAACGAGGCAAATTTGAGCCATCTCTGTGTGGGCCGGTTCTTTTCCAATGGCGAATTTTGCTGCACCTTGTTGGGAAATTCGATCTGATTCAAGATACTCCTGTACAGAAAAGTGCGCTATACGAGCGATCGTAGTAGCTTCTCCAAAGTCCTTGTCTTCAACAACTGCGAGCTCTATAAGACCAAGACAGATGTCGAGAAGATCATCTTCGCTAAATGATCGACCCTCACGATCTAATTGCATCTTGCTAACATCAATAGCAAGGGCGCCGATAAGCTCCTTCACGGTGAGTGGCCGATTAGACACGCAAAGTAAAGTTAATACCAGCCGTGCTTCTGCGATGTCTTCTGGGTCGATGCTGCACAGCATTCGCTCATATGTCTCATCGAGATCACGAGGCAAAGAACGCAAACATTTATCGAGCTGGTTTCGGATCCGGGTCCGTTTTAGGGCAAGGAGTTGACATTCGACATATCTAAATCTGTACGATTATTAGTCAAATTCTTATACAATTTCTCTTTGTTTTGCTCACACTCCCTGCGCCTTACTCGTCAGTTTCTCTTGGATCTCTTCGTGCCGTGATTCCCATTGTCGAAGCTTGGGGTCATTGCTGAGCTGGTAGGAAATGAAGTTTTGGATGTCTGTATCCGTGTCCGGATTCTTCATTGAAATATCCTGGGAGGATGGGGTTTCCAGAGAATGGCGGATGTCAATTTCGTTGCGGCTGGTCACTAGGAGGTGTAGGGTGGGCAGGTCCCATTGCCGGATCGTCTCTACCGCACCTAAAACGCCCTCTCTTTTATCGTATCGGGGGCACTCATCTAATGCGTCCAACAAAATGTAGGTGTCGTTGAACCTACAGATAGTCTGTCGAAGGGAGTTAAGTAGCGCTGCCACTGGCGGAGTACCCGACTTATACAACTTATGTAGTTCTTGTAGATCTTTTTCGCCCCCTTCAAGTTGAGCCGATAGTTGCAATAACAATGCGCGTAACATGCCGGAACAATCCCTCTTAGACTCATCATTGAAGGAAAAGTAGAAAAATCCGATTCCTACACTAGGCTGGTGTTGCCTCTCACGGACTGTATATTGAATTGCTGTCGAGCATAGGACTGACTTGCCACACCCGGCGAAGCCATTGATCCAGAGAAATGAATTGCGCTCAACCAGCCAGTTCTGGAATTTCTGGCCGTTGACCAACCATAGTCCTGTACTTGTATGGCGTTTCTCGCACGCAGCATTGTGCTCGATGTTCGCATCTGGGGCCTCGAGCCAATCACGAATCGTAGTAGAGATGTGAATCGTATTTATCCGTTCGACGAGTAATTTCAGTTCGGATATCCCATCTTCAAGCCCAGTCTGGTTCCTAAGCTGTAGCACATTTAATGCAAGGGACAAGTTTCCCCGTATCTCGCCGATGTCCTCTTCAAGCTTCTTCAGAGTACTTTCCCTAAATGGATAAGTTGCCCGACGCCCGGAAAGTTGTATTCGGGCTCTCAGACCCAGAGCGGTATCTTTTTGGAATTTCTGACATTCCTCCCTCAGTTCCTCAAGGATCTCACGGCATCCCGCTGCCGCCTTGTCGATCTCTTGGATTAGGGCATCCGTCTGAGGTTGGCCATTTTGTCGTGCGCCATCAAGGGCCCTGAGGATACCGAGAAGGTTCTCAAGATTCAGCGTGATCTTGGCCAGAGCAGGAGTCTGATCCTTGTATGCGGAGTAAAAATCAACTAGAGATTTGGTAACTTGGATACCCAATGATAGCAACCCGGCAACTCCAGATGCGATAGAGAGCGGATCAGCCATAATGAAAGGATTTTTCCGAATCTGAGCGATGCTACGCAGGTGCGGTCTACGTTGAGTGAACACGGTGGAAAGATGATCGTTGGTGTTGGCGGGGCGCATTCGCCCAACTCCTGTTGGGCACGTCTCAGCCTCCTATTTCGCCCCCAAATTTGGAGGATCGCGTCTCTAATACCATTCAAATATACTCCGTACTATGCAAGCGATAAAGCCGTACTGTTAGTATTGGCCCAGGAATTCGATGTTCTGTACTATACCTAAAAGGGTAGTATTCAAGCGCTTCTCGTATTCGTATTGATCCTAATAAAGTGCGAGATAGCAATAATACTCCGTCAGTGTTAATTCATCATCATTAATTAACTTGAATATAGGAAAAGGTCGCTTAGAAGCAGACATATAGATATCTTATCACATGCTAATATATATACATATAAACTGGATAGTATAGAAACCCTTAACAAATATTTAGCTCTATCTCAATTGGTGATGAAGAGAGTTCACTGTAGTTACGACATCGACAAGGTTTCCCACTTGGCGCGCTAAAAAGCGATGCCCCACGGCTCCGCTTTCAATCTGTCTCTCCTTTTATTCTTCTTTCTTCTCCTTCTATTTCCAAGATATATTCTCGTTGCACTTCACCAGAGTCCGTGTCGCATTGTTCCTCTCGATTGCGTCACCTCTAGGGCTCCGACCATGGCTTACAACAAATCCTACAACCCAGATGCGCTGCCAGCGTAAGTGCATAGTCGATCTAGCGAGAGTCTACAGTTACTGATTACTGACCGGGGAATATTACAGTCATGCTGAGCCAGAACAGGTACAAAATTCGACACTGGTGGCCTCGTCATCCTTTTGTTAACGGTCAATTAGGTCGCGCAGATGTTAGGCAACATGAATGTATCAGGCCAAAGCCACACTCCGAGCCACGCCCCAAGCCACAACCAAAAGCCGCTCCCCTCTCGCCCACCACCGCAAACAAGCCACAGCAGCGGTGTTCCTCCCCGCGTCCCTGTATCCAGCGCGCCCCCGCAACACGCATACGCCGCAGCGCCCCCGCGCCTCGACCCTCAACCCCACCATTCGCACTCCCACTCTCACTCCTACAGCGGCCGTTCCTCTTCAGCACACGCGCCTCCGCCGAGCCAACATCCTAGCCAGTCTCAAGCTCGTCCTCACCCTCTTCACCCCTCCCCGCCACCCCAAAACTATGGCTTCGGACCCCCGCCACTGCATCCCCAGCGCAACAGACCCCCGCCCTCATCGCGGCCTCCTCAATCGCCCGTCCCACCGCCATTGACAGCACCCAGCGATGACCCGCAACAACTCTTTCCCCTCTTCCGCGCCGCGAACGCATCCCACTCCGGCGCCCTCACAGAAGGGGAGCTCGGCAGCGCTCTCGTGAACGGCGACTACACGTCCTTCCACCCCCGAACGGTCAGGCTGATGATCCGGATGTTCGACCGCGACGGTAGCGGGACAATCAGCTTCGACGAGTTTGTCTCGTTGTGGCGGTATCTAGCTGCATGGCGGGAGCTGTTCGATCGCTTCGACGAGGACCGTAGTGGACGTGTCAGTCAGCCGGAGTTTGAGAAGGCGCTTGTTGCGTTCGGATACCGTCTTAGTGGGAAGTTTATTTCTGTTATCTTTGGTGTCTTTGAAGGCAAGGCCAAGCAGATGAGCAATGCGCCTAAGGATGCTAGGTCTACTGGTATGAGCTTTGATCTTTTCGTTCAGGCTTGTATTAGTCTGAAGCGTATGACGGATGTCTTTAAGCGGTACGATGAAGATCGGGACGGGTATATTACTCTGAGCTTTGAAGAGGCTTTGACCGGTAAGTCTTGCTGCTTGTTGCGTGGTTGTTGGGGATCAGTGGTTGACTGAACATTATTTCTACAGAGATTCTGTTATTGCAGGAGTAAAGCATTCTGCTACATTACCATACGTATTATTCCGCTCGGCTTTTCCCTGGTTGTGATGTTCTCTCTACGCGATCGCTATCTTCATTATACCCCCAAACCCCATTTGCTTTCGTCATAGAATTTCCAGGGATCTGCATTGGTCATTGCATGTTCATCGAGGAGTTATTGAGTCATGGATATGCTTGGAATATGAGTGCATTGAAATCTACAAAGTATTGGCCATCTTCTCCAAATACGGCATACACTCGTCCGCCTTACGGAGAAGGAGCAAGCCACAGTAAAATTTCACATGGTCAGGGATATCATTACATTAGAGCAGAATCAATGGCTAGACTAAGTAAACTAGTTAGTTGGCTGACTCGGAGTCATCACTTTCCCATGAATCATCATCAGTTTCCCACGAATCGTCATCACTATCCTCGTCGGGGTGAAGGTGTGCAAATTCAGGGTCCCTCATAGCCCGCTGCATAAGTAGATCGAGAAGCCGTGGTGGGATCGGACCCAAGCTGGGATCTGCTTCTGGTGGATATGGATGGTCTTCGAATTCCGGTTCTAGGAAATCTTCCTCAAAACCGAGATCTTCGTCATAATCGATGTCGAGATCATCGTAATCATCAAAATCAGGTAATTCATACGGTAAGATATTGAAATTCACTTTGGTTCCTTTGAACATATCCTTCAGAGCAAGGAAACATTGCTCTGGAGTCTTCCCTTCTGGGACACGTTGCCCAGGAAATTTAATGGGCTGGGTGATGTCGATAGCGAATACCTTAACGTTAGTCAACTTCGGATAAAGACCATTTTTAGAATCTGTCGCGATGTTCTGAGCCAACTCCCGGATGGACGAGTTGCAGTCGGTGATATGAAGCCTCACTAGCGAGCTGGGGAATTGAGGGTGTGGCGGAAGAGAAGCGTGTGGGATGAGGATGGTCTCGAGCACGGAGAAATCGCGGAATGAGCCAACCTTGACATGGCTAGAAACGAGTTGCTCGATATGCTCGACGTCCGGTAGTTCCATTGCGTACTCGAGGTGGAAGAGCTCAAGGGTGTCCTTATGTAGGAGGGCAGCTTCGTGAGCCTGCTTAGCGTCAAACTCGGGTATGGTTCCCGCAGGCATGATGCGTCGGTCGTTAGGGTCCAAGCTGAAATTGTTATAGGTAAAGGTCCTTAGCTTTTTGCACGCTTGCATGAACTTTTTGATGGCGGCAGCATCGATATGGCAGTGGTGGAAGGCCAGGTACTGTGTCTCCAATGTTCTTGGCAACCAGGTAGATGGAAACGATTCGTCGAAGAGATTGCCGTACTCAAAGGTTGAAAACCTGACCTTGGAAAGGGTGAGGAATTTCTCGTAGGAAGCAATATCGAAGCCGGAAATTTCGTCATCGTTTTCAATCCAGATAGACTCAAGGTTCGACAAAAAACTTGGATTGTGACGGAAAAGCTGGATGAATGGCTGGGTCCAGAAGTAGCGCACTGGTACATGTAGCCCACGAAGATTGGGAGCCTTGTTGGCTAGCAATGCTGCCAAAACACCGAGGTCAGATTTCTCCATGGCCAAAATCCAGATCTCCTCCTGATCGTCCAATCCAAGGTCCTTAATTGCGCCTTCGAAGAGCTTGGAGTCCTCTGCAGAAAGAGGTTCGCGACCGCCTGAGACGAATGGAAAAGGCAGGATAGAGATTTGATGCACATGCTTTCCGAGATCTGGGCGACGATATATTGTTCTGATGAATGGGATGGTCGGGGTTAGACCACCGGTCAAACCATCATCAAAAAGATCACGGAAGAGCAAAGGTTGGGCCACCTCACGGAACTTCCGCGAAACTAGGCAAATATTGTGCAGAGTGTCAATTCCATCCAGTTCATCATTGTCATCCTCGTCGCCATCGTCGTCGTCATCCAATTCGTTTGCCTTGCCGTCTTCGGCTTTCGTGTTTTGATCTCCGCTCAGTAGCTCGAGATCACCTGGGCGGACAAAGCAAGACAGAATGAGATGTAGGAGCTCTATGGGAAGGCCCTGAATGTGTGCCATGATTGGAGATGAGCTCCGCAGTGGAGATGCCCTGAGTTGGGTGCTAGACCTAACTTACGGTCGAAGAGGAAGCGGGCGTTATCTTCACGCGTGATAGCGCGCGAAGGCCTATTTAGATTATCCTACAACGGCAGTTAGGGCTAGCTGGTTAGGGCTTTAGTCCACATGGAACCCACGCCATTCCCTTTTCGGGTCTAGCGTCATCCCTAGTCACTTTTACCCCGCATACGCATATGTACCGGATAATGTCTTGGCTTTCCCTTTCCGTTTTAGTGCTCACCCCTTGCCGCTTTTTGACCATTGAGTAGAATTGAGCACGCCCTGAGTTGCTCAGTGAGTATTACATAACCATAAATTCCATTTTGGTACCGAGAAGGTAGACACCCTTCATTTACTCACTTGGCTGACACTCAAAAAGAATGAACCATTCGGCATGGTTACTCTATTTTGGCCAGAAGCTTAGGTAGTCAGCCAGCGCCAAAAATAATTTACTCAGCCATTTGATAAATCCAAGAGCGACTTGACTACGATCGAGCATCTTGGACTGATTATCATAAACATAGTCCCCGTTCTCTGTTTAGAAAATTGTGTCCTTCCGTCCATCATCTGAATCGTTAGAACCACTGTAGATATGACTCATATCCCTCTCTGCGTCACCAACATCGGCTGCACACTGCTATCACATGACTACACCTGGCTATGGGGGCCTTACACTATATTAACAAGCGTGACGTGAAGTAGCCTCTGCGCGCAACGCCCGTTCAGAATTTCCAACTTCGACTCGAATGTTTGTGCTTTTCGTCCGCACATACTCTACCCAATATGTGTCTCGCACAGTCAAGAGAGGAGCTCCCGTCTTTCACGAGATACTCCGCTGCACATAGACCGTATGTCAATCCCATGAGAAGGTAAATAGTAGGAAGGCTAACCCAAACAGACCAGGTACCCCTCGGCTGGCACTTTCTTTCGAATCAGAAAAGCAGTCACACGCTCATGATACCTTTTACCGCATCGTGTTTACAATCACGCGCGAGGCAGATGACCTCGACAAACGACCATGTATTATTCACTGGGATCCCGTCGAGGACGGTCTTGGCCAGTCAGGCATGATGCTGCGTATTCGTCCAGCAAGCGGCTTTGAGGCACCTGACCTCAATTTACACGAGCTGCCCACGAAGTCCCTTCATCCCCGAGAAGTGTCCACCGAAGACCCTTGCTTCAAGCAGCTTGACCCAGGCACTTGCGTCTCCTGGTCCGCGAATTTGCCACCTGTCTATTTTAATGCCCAACGCTCCCTGAATCACTACGACCTCATCTGGGGAGGTGGGCAAATTCATTTGTGGGATTGGGGAACGCTAGTGGACTTTAGCGAGTCGCATCGCCAGCTTGCTCCAAAGTCACCCGCGACAGTACTTCCCAGTGGAGCACACCAGTCATTCGAGGTCGTCGACGATGAAAGCGACCTTGAAGACGATGTGGGAGAATGGGATTCGTCGCCGCGACCAATGTCACCATCTGCTCGGGCGGCGGACGCTCCAGTACTAAGTATGAAAGTCGCTGGTCCTGAAACGCTATCAATAAGAAATCGTTCGCTCGCAGCGAGACTTGACTATCCTGTTACCGTTACGATCTCATACGACGAAGCACCTGGCCTGGGAGATGATAAGAGACCGATCGTCTTTCACACGTCTAGCTTCAAAATTATGGACAGTCACTACCATGGGTTTCGGCTCTATGTGAAAGAAAATGACGAATGGAGGGGCCATAATGTGAATGGGGAGCTCCTACACCACGCTTACAGATCAAGTCCTACTCCACTAAATGTTGGCATGAATGAGGGGAACAAATTTCAGACTTTGATGCCTGGCGAGTCTTGGTCGTTTACACGGACTATAAGCGATTTCCCGAAGGATTTTGCGCCCGGTGATCGATTTCAGTACGGGTTCAAGGGGACTCCCCTTGACTGGTGGAATTGGGGCAATTTTGATGATCATGAAGACACTGTCGTGGTGGCTGGGGAGACAATTGTCACTCATCCGCCAGATAATAATGGCAGGCCTAAGGTTGTGGTGTCGGCTAGTAACTGGATCGAGTTTACATTGATCGAATGAGGAAAGTATCACTATAAATTATATGAAATTGAATTCCTACTTACGTTTAGACAGCCACCTTAATTATCTCTACTGCCCGCCTCTTCTATCCAAGGAGTGGCTCCGTCTCGCCTTCTCGCGGTATATTATCCGAAGACCGCCGACGCAAGGCTAGGGCAAGCAGTATCGCCTGACTGATGGCAAAGATAAAGCTGTTGACTATCACCCAGCCGATACTCCCATACCAGACGGTGAAGGTATTCCAATTCATATGGCCTTTCAGGTCCTCATATGGAAACGGAAGACACCATATCCATGCCACAGAGATGAGCGTGAAGACAATTGCTTGCACAGCAAGCCCTTGTAGGCTGAGCGAATTTGGAAATGAGACTGTACGGATCTCTTGCGCCTGACGGTAAATGCTGAAGCAGCCTAGGAACGTGATTATTGGCCAAAGAAGCACCATGTGCAAAAAGAAGTACATCGCTGACCACCACTTTCTTGGCTCGGAGGGCATTGGCGAGACGGCATCGATGAGAAGAGGGATGAGTGACACGAGGAGGAAAGCGGTATAGCGGACGCAGAGTGAAGTACGGCGGTCACTATGGAGCAGAATCTGGGCAAACCTAGGAGGATATGATTAGAACCTGTGTGGTTCTTGTCTTCAAAAATTGATGGCCCAATCTCACAATGCTAGAAAAAGAAACGTGACCACGGCACAGTGACACAGACTAAACCAGTCGCCTGCAGAGATGGGAAAGTGCAGGAATATGGTTTTAGCGGTCCGGTCAGATTGATTGACAAGTAAGAAGAAATAGACCGTGATCTGCTCCGTGGCGCTGATGAGATTCCATAAGATGTAGAATGGGGAGATCCCCTTGATGCTCTGCGTCCCTCGTATGCGTAATATTTGGGATGCAAAGGAGCCGACAGTGAGGATGAGCAGTATACTGCTTGAGTTAGCTTATTCTTTATTCCAGGGTTGAAGTAAGAGTGTACACATACATTCGACACCATAGTGGTGGTTCTGGGAGCGCCATATTTGTGCATGTGTATGGCAAGCACTATCGATGTAGGAGGCGAATGATGAGTAATGATTCTCTGTGCTAGCTGATGAGATTGCAAGCTCAGGTCGTGTGGTAGCGAGCTTTAGACGACTGTGGATTATGTCTTAGAATAGTTGGGAATGGGAAGAGAAGACGGCGAAAGGCAAAGCCAGAGCAGGGTTGCGGCTCGGCGGTTCCAAGTTTGGCAAGGAGGGTGGGAGCAGCGGAGGGGGCCTTCCAGGAAAGAGGGGCTGTTCCACTTGTAAAGGAATACGTTCTTGGCAATACATAAGTATGTGAAACCTGTTCAAGAGATAATGTTATTTCGAGATTTCATTCGGAATAGAACCTGCCTGAAGACATTTTAGCCGATCAGCAACAGTACACTAGTGTAATTGTCCATTGAATTAATCTTGAGACCAGACTGAGGGACTATGAAGTGCGAGAGTATTGTACAAGACTTTATTCATCTCATTTACAAACATAGGATGAACATATCTGTTGAGCCTCTTCAGCCTAGAAACGTGGGCCGAGGCAGAACCGAGTGACCTGACGTAAAAAACGATGAGAAAAATTCAGAGACGCCTTAGTTTCTGTTGGTAGATTGCCTGGGCTTCGTAGGTTGGAGCCACCGGGGTCTCGTTACTACCCCTGCCGCGAGGCCTGCTATTAGCTAGCCCATCTCGGGCGATGCTGTTTGCCTCGCGCTATCTCAAATGCATCGGACCCTTGGCACCACAATAACCAACAGTTCTATCTGCAGGGGTTATCCGGTGACCCGTTGGACAGGGGTCCTCTGGATCCCGACGGGCTTGATTTGTGGCGGTTGGAGGCCGGCCGGGGGGCCGGAAGGAACATCGCACTTGAGACTTCGCAGCACCCCTGGTACGGCATCGGGTGTCCTGGGATAGTTTGTCCTTGGCATCCGAGGCATTTTGGAGCGCGACTACACAGTCAACTTTGGCCAACATACCTATTCTTACCGGACGGGCTGCATACATCTTGCCTTTCAATGCTGCGCGCGTTCTAAGCCACTCCGCCCCTGTCCATTGCAAAGTTCACCAAAATGGGTGTGAATTTGTTCGCATGCCCTGCCAAGTGCCCTCCCAATACCTTGGAAATCGACGAAACGTCGGGCTATATCGTTTACTGCACCTCTTATTTTTCAGCCGGGAACTGCATTCTCCCGGTTCATCGACGCCCTTATTTCCCTTGTCACGGACCTATTATTTTTAATGAGGTCTAAAATTAGAAGACAGAAGGAAGCAATATCATAAAACGGATGGAGTTCTCCGCTCCTTCCTACGCCCCTTCGTTATGACGTATTTTCTTGATAAGATGTAGTGCTCCAAAAATTGAGGCGGTAGCAATGCTATCAACAAACTAACTCTTGCAGTATGAACGACCCTATAGGGGCTAATCCCTTCTAGGTATAGTCTGCTGTGGTCTAAGCGCATCTTTGTTGCTCACTGATTGGACACTGAGCATCCACTGAGCACTCACTAAGCATCAGTCATTCTGCACGTGACTAATCTGAGCATGATCACTAATATAAGCCCGTGCTGACATCTACTCAGTGAGCCTGAGCCTGAGCGCCCTTATAAAAGCGGCGGCAGATCAAATAGGAAAGCCCCACCCGCCAGGGAAAAACCGGTACGTATACAACATAGTTCGTTCCTGGGATAGAGCTGCAGTACAGTCCATCTTTATAGGTAAGAACCTGAACTCAGTTTCAAAAACACTAGTTCTCCATATCCTTGCTGCTTCTCTAGGTGTAACTTTATAACAACGTCGACTAGCGGGCTAAGTTGACACTTGCCTCAGCTTTACTCTTCCTAAGCTGGTGTTTCGTGCTACCTAGGTAGTATCCGCGAGTATATGATTTAGGCAAACGTGAGCCCCTCAAGAGCAATAGTGATTAGTCGATTATGGAAAGAACGACCCTGCCATCCTCCATCAACCTTCAACAATTCTCCACATCTCGATACATTCCTTCGTGTGTCGATGCGCCTCTCGTATCGAATGCGCTTTATAAATACCAAAAGGCGCCTAACTCTAACCTTTACTTGCTCATCGCTTTCTGAAGGCCTTTTAAAACCCAGGAATCCAGCTATCAAAGGCACGCTCAAGAAGTTCTCGAATCCTCCGAGTTATCCTTCATGGCTCTCGAGGATTCCATTTACGCTTCGACCTTGGCTTTTAATTCCTTCCTACGAAGCCCCTTGGGACACCAAAATATGCAGATCCAGCTGCCAAAGACAGGCTCAGAATGCCTCGTACACTCCGAGTCATCCATCATACCTTACCTATGACATTTCCTCTGCACGGAGTCCGCTTAATTTGATTGTTATTGTCCGTATGTTGCCTTCTGACATTCATACAACATACATACCCGCTGACAACCCGTTACCGTGGGAATTCCAAACCTGGGCCCGTCCCAAGTCTATGCTTAAGTCTCGCCGTTCCACTCGAGTACTTTGGCATAATGTATCGTGTGGTGGTGGGCATAGCTGGGTTGGTGGACCGTCAGATGAAGAGAAAATATGCGCGGTGGAAGAATTATGTAGTTCCGTTTTGCAATTCCGTGGCCTAACAGGCGGCACGTGCCATGACTGCGTCATGCGAGTATCCGAAGTCGCGGTTGCCGCTTCCAAGATAACGTCCTCTCATTCCTGAGCAAACCCATGGACGCGACTTCGCTGGTTTGAATGCTCACGTTCGATTCTCAATAATTCGCGTTGGCCCCGTGCCCCATTAAAGTCGCATAGTCCGAGCAAAGAAATCTCCCAACTGCAATTCATGATTCCGAAAATCCTGAGATCATCTTGCACAGATGGGAACTTGTTCCCCGAGGATATGGCTTACAAGGTCGTCCCCTCTTTCGGCGCGTCGTACTGCATTCCTCAAATGATCTCGAATGAATAACACGACATATGTTACCGGAGAGTCCTATATGAATGGCACAACTACGACTACTACACAGCTGGATCTACCCTTCGATAAGGTTGTTGACCGGCCTCCTCACCAGCCCCTGGAGAGAGACTTAGTGATATCCGAGCAAGAGCTGAGAAACTTTTGCCGAGGATATCTGGAGTGTACAGAGTCTCCTATAAGTCGTCTCGATTCTGGCTTTGAACAAGTCCTTCCGGATATTTTGTTGATGCCACAATGCCAAATCGACCTTGGAAATGTGACCACCTATGTAGGTAGGAGCTGCCTATCTCTTGTGATTGAGCGAGTTGATTTTGGTGGCTTGCACCTTTTTTTGTTCAAAGTATTCAAATGTGAAAGTCACCAGGTTCTCTACATGAGTCATGAGCTACCTCGAAGTATTCTCTTTTTCCAAATGACAGCCACTTGTTCTTCGCATCGCGAGTTTGATTCCATTTTTTTATTTTCCGCAACAAGTGCCTTCTGATCCTTATACTATGCCTTCGATCGTCGAAGACCCAGAGGAAATGGTAATTTAAGTTAACAATAAGGGAGATTGCTGTGGACCTTAGATTAGAGGTATATTGATTCATGGCGGCTGATAGCTACTCGTTCCCTCTTTTCACTCTCAGCTCTCACCCTCACTCTCACTCTTAAAGCCAGAGAACGTGGTTCGTTAACTCCGAAGGTAGTCATAGACAGCATAATATGTCCTAACGCTAGCACTAGCAAAACCACCTAGGTAGTAACCACTAATAACCAATGAATAACCAATGACTCAGATCTGAGGTCAAATCTATCTCATGTCAGCCGCTTCACCTGTTTTTCTTCCACCATACAATTTATTAGCAGGAGATGTCATGATATATTTTCTCTTCTCAGATGTTGTAGTTTAGTTTTCATACACTACATGTGTACGTTTCTCGCCTATAAAATCAACCTCGGGATCGGTGCTTATCCGAGGCCGGCACCGATGACGATCCACTCCAGAGAAGATTCAATTTGACACTTCGGCCTTCTCAATTAGTCTAAACCCCGAAAATA